GACAAGTTGGTGTATCTAGACATGACTCTGTAAGCAAATTTCGCTATTGATAGTCTTAAGTAATTCTCTCCTCTTATTAGTTTGAATCTTCCAGGTATTTTCTGTGCTCTCCTCTTTAGTAGTGATGTTTTTTATACGTGTATATAAATAAATCACTATTTAGGAGAAGGAGAGCACAAAACTGTGGTGGGGGGGGGGGGGGGGAGGGGTTATGTATGAAAAGGTGATGAGGAAAGTTACAGCCAATGTAATGAAAGTTTACCTGCTGTTAGTCAGTGGTAGTCTTGTACTTGAGGAGCTCGGCACCTCCTTTCCCTCCCTGTCTTGGAACAATGTGTTAGAAATAAAAATGATTCACAAAATAAAAGAAGGATTACTAGTGCCTTTTTACAGTTCTTTTATTCATTGAAGTTTGAAATGAGCTCTTTTACAGAAGGAGGCGTTGTGAAGTTATACTGAAGTACAGAGCAGAAAATGCTTGCCTCCTTTTGACAAAGGAGACACGTTTAATGAAACTCAGTATTTTCTGTAACTTCAGTAATTTTAAAATTGCTGTAAGAGAGAAATGTTTCCTGAAGTGCAGTGTTGTATCTGGAACTTGTCCCAGGGCTTCTGAAAGAGCCTAGTAAGTTTTGGATAAGAACTAGATACAAAGTTTTAGTGTGTTATTCTATGTATAATAGCACTATCTGGGTTCTCTTGCTCAGTGATCTCTCAGATGGGCTTTTTTCTTTATTATAATTTTAGAAGTATAATGGGAATGTTTGTAGGTAGTTTTCTCAGTATTTTCTTAGAATATGGATAAAGCAACACAGTTCAAACACTTCCAAATGGCACTGCCACAGAGCCCTTCCTTCATTCCTTCACCACTCATTCCTCTGTGACTTGTGCAGCCATGACATAAAGCTGTGAGGGAAGATGGCCCTGCTGGAAAATTCGCAGCAGAAGAGTGGATTGTTTTCATCTGGGTTTGTTTTCTGAACTGTTAAAAAAAGAGGGAATGGTGTCACAGTGATGCCACTGGTTAAAGGAAGTAAAAGAGTTTTTTATTTTGACTACTTCTGATTAAAAATAATCTAGGAACTGGACTGTTATTTTAGTGAAAGGATTTTTGGTTTTATCCTGTGTTAGTGAAGGAAAGGTTGCTGTTTGTGATAGCTTCTAGTCTGCTTTGACAGCAAAAAAACTGATCTTAAATTACAGTTGATGTGTTTGGATTCTGATGGTTCTCCATCTCTAACAGTTCTTGCTCTGTTTTGTTCTGTTGTTGAAAATACACAGCTTCTTCCAGTTTGTGACACCTGGGAGGACACAGTTTGGGCATATTTCAGGGTCATGGTGGATACACTTGTGGAGCAAGAAATACGAACATCAGTAGTAACTGCAGAGGAGATGGAAGAGCTCCCTAGAGAGTATTTAGAAACCAAGTAAGTTTTAGGTAGCAATTATGTTCTTACCCTCAACAAAGGATCCTTTCACAATATTCAATGTAATGTTTGTGGTGGTGATGTTGTTTGTTTTTTTTTAACCTTCTCTCTTTTACTTTAAAGCTGGACTTCAGAAAAAGTTTTTGAAGAGCTTCAGGCAACAGACAAAACGGTACATAGTGCTTACAGTTTCTCCTCACTGTTTGCTATTTCTACTTACACAATTGTTTGGGCTTCTCCACTATTTCACAAAACAGTGACAGGTTTTCCATCCCTGTAATGTATACTTAATTCAAATAGATTTTTCTGCCACCTTTTAATGATGAAGAAGGTACAGGTTTTGTCTTGTTTCTTATCTGCCAAACTAGCTGAATGTGCTAAAGAAACAGTGGACCACAAATTGCTGTCAGACGTGCGAAGCAGACAGTGTAAATCACATTTTTAACACTCTGATAAAACGTGTGAAAATTGATTGCTTGTGGTTTTCTTTGTAGGAGGTTTGCATGTATATTTCAGAACAAGTCTTTCAAAATTGAAAAGCACGTATTTTTTAGTATACTGTATTTGTCCTTAACACGGAGTATTTCATTTAAGCTAGAATAGATAACTTATATGTTAATTTTTATAAAGATTAAATTGAAACTGTGTTTGGTGGGGTCAAATAAAGAGCTTACAGGTGGAAGCAGCTCGCCAGATGCACTCAGCTGCCATGGCCTTTCTGGTGCTATTGCCACCAGCCAGTTTCACTGGTTCATTTGAATTGTGTTTCATACTTTAGTTTCCCTGCAGAAAAATGTCTTCAAGTACATTTCACAGGCCTTTTCTTTAAGGATTCATAGAAAATGTTGCACCTTTGATGACATTGTAGAACCTGTTCTGATACACTGTTATTCTGTTCAAAGCAAAAAGCCCTTATTTTTGGATCCCTTTTCTGAAAGCATTAACATCACAGCATTAGCTCACAGATCTATATTCTAGCTCTTTCAGTTTGGCAGTATTCTTATAATTTGACATGGACATAGCAGGTGCATTTTCTTTTTTTTTTTTTTTATGTAGAACGCCCTTTGAAATAAGAGAGCTGCTTTTTTTCCTCTAAGAAACCTTTGCTTCATTTTCAAATTTGCTTTTTTTTTTTTTTTTTCTTTTTTAACATGTTGTGCCATGAGTTTTTATTCACAGTTTGAACTTTCTGTTTTTCTCCCCAGAGAGTTATAGAGGAGAATCAAGAACACTATCATGTGATTCAGAAATTCATTATACTGGGAGACGTGGATGGTGAGCTTTTCTCTAAGTGACTTTTAAATGTCAACCAACTGCATTATTTCTGGTGATATTTCCAGAAACTTCTCTGTGAATGGGTTTTAGAAATGCACAGTAGGCAAACTCCACTTAAAAGCAAGGCTGATTCTTTAATTGAGAACTACAGGGCATTTCTGCAGCTTGACTGACCTACAAAATAGTTTTCGAGGTGGTCATGAAATCGTGTAAATGATTCATATGAGCAGTGTGAGAATATTGCTGCAACATTGTCTAAAAATTACAGAATGCTTAGCAGATATTAAAACCAAACATAAATATTAGCCAAGCTGTTGCAATTCTGTTTTATTGTGCTTTTTAGGCTAAACTATATTAGTTGAATAGATGCGTAGTTTTGAACTATTTCTTAGGTGCTTTTCCTGGGGTCTGACTGATACAGACATGTGGTTGGTGGCTACAGGTCTGATGGAAGAATTCAACAGATGGCTTTCCAAAGACAGAAGTGTGCTGCCAGGGCACCTCCTTCGTTTCATGACACATCTTATTCTGTTTTTCCGCACTTTGGGCCAGCAGACCAAGGTAAGGGTGAAGTTCTTGTAGCAGTGTCCGCTCTTTGAATTCGGATAAATGCATTTAAATACTCAAAGTATGTACTGTAATGGTAAATTACTGCCGGGCTGGTGAGGAGCTACGTGCCTGTAGTGTGTTTGTTGATATTGGATCCTAAAAAGAGCATCTCTTTCTCTCCAGATCAGCTTCAGAAATGTTGTTTGAGGAAGGCAGATTTTATTTAGAAGCCTGTGTGGGGAAAAAAGGGCCTAGCTCAAAATTCAAGGTCAGATTTACATACAGCAGCCGAAATAACCTGATTCAGGCACTGCCCTTGGAATTGTATTTATTGCTGGATGCTCTGCTCATAACTGCATTTGTTTGAGGCAATTAGTTCCTTTTGGTCCTAACCAAAGCCATTGTATCTTCTACAAATACATACCACGTACAGTTTGCTAGCTACCTAGCCACTTTGTGCTGAATAGAAGGATGAGTCACAGAGCTGCAGTTACTCTTTCCTGAGGCAATCACAAGTAATTAAAGCCCCATTTCTCTATTACTTTAAAATTTAGAAGCATACATATGAACTAAGTTCTTCTTTTGCTAAAAGATTAATATATTCTCTAGCTGATTTCAACTTAGCTTTCAGTTATTGTGCTTGTTTGTTTTTTTTTCATGTCAGCTCATTGCTTCATTCCCCTGCCAAAATATATTTTGAAGTTAATTTTGATGTTTTGAATACAGTTCATATAAATTCTATAAATTCTTAGATCAGAATCCCTGATGTCATTTATGTGTGCTTTTAGTATTCTTGCTTGTAGAGAAAACTTAGAGAAATCTCCTCAGGTACTGTCAGCACTCATCAAAGTGCTGAGACAAAAGTAAGGCAAGCTTGTTTTTATTGAATGCTGCAGTGCTTTGCATTACTCACAGATGATAATAAGAATTTGACAAAAGTCAGCCTGCATGGTTTTAAGCATTTTCCAGCTTACAGACTGACTACGACTGAATGCAGTAGATTTATGAACTAGTAGCCCTGGAGTCAGCAGCACTAATATTTGTATCAATTAAATGTAAGGTGGGCTGGCACCTCGCTTTATTTTGTGTTTTAGATTTGCTTTACTGCAGCACCTGATGGTCCAATGGCTTTAGATTTTGTAGTTGTTAGCTGCAACGAGAAACTCACCTTGTGGGCTGAACAGGAATTCTAAATACATACCAGTGGATGTTTCTTTAAGTTCTGAAAACCCCTTGGTGAGGGATATCACACTAGTTTGTTATTGCTTAAAAATCTGCACAGACACAAGATAACCATATCAAACTAAAATGATGGCTCAGAAATCAACACTTGATTCGTAGCTAAAGCTGTTTGCATTGTACAGGCTGTCATTGGTATTTCATGGTGTTCAGGGGTTGTTTGTTGTTTTTTGGTGTTGTTTTTTTGCTACATTATCTCATTTAAAATTGAATTTGTATTTGTTTGCAATAAGGAGGAAGTTTCTGTTGAAGTCCTAAAGACCTACATTCAGGTAAGCCTTCAGAATTCTATTTTGTTTTCTTTGAGGTTAGACATAAAGGAGGAAAAAGTGAGAGTAAAGGTTACATGGTGGAAAGAGTTAGTGCTCTCCTAATAGATGCATGGAGGTGCCTGAGTATACAGCACTTCTGTCAGAGATGCTTACGTAGGAGATTACTGACCCTTGTTTAGAAGCTGAGAAACAAGTGGAGTCTTTGGTACAAGGGGGAAAAAACCCACACAACTAGGCATCTGGCTTACACATTATTTAATATTCATAACTTAGATGTGTACACAGAGAACATTGTTTTTTTTTAATATTTGCTTTCTGTTCTTCAGCGGATGATATCAGAGAAGCACACAGACTTAATAGCTTTTTATGTGAGCCACCTGCCCCCAGAGCTGGCTGTTGCCCAGTATGCTCTGTTTCTAGAAGATGTTACTGAAAGCGATCAACGCCACCACTGTCTTGAGTTAGCAAAAGAAGCAGGTGAGATGTGCTCTATATTGTGTTTTCTTCCTGTAGTCTGGAATAGCAATTCTATTTCTAAAACAAGCTAAATACCACTTTTGCTTGTGGATCATGTCCAAACATAGCAGAAATTAAATGCTAACTGCCCATCTTAAATATATGCTCTGAAGTTTGACAAACATATCTGCATGCAGGTCCCCAGCACAGACTGTTTGATGTTTTCTGTTATCTTGGATATTATTCATCTAATATACGTGCAATAAATTATGTATCTTAAAAGCCTATAATTTAGTGTGGCAGTAAGAGTGTGACCAGCCCAGTAACAGTTACAGGTAATGTAAGAAAGAAGGTCCACAGCCCCAGTCTGAAATTCATTCAGCAGGAAATTTGAATTTCTGATCCCCACTGTGTAATTCTCTTTTCACCTAGGCCTGGATGTTGCAGCCATAACAAAAACTGTTGTTGAGAACATCCGCAAGAAGGATGCTGGGGATTTCAGTCACCATGATCATATGTTGGACACAGGCACAACAGAGGTGAGTGTGCTTTGTTAGGGAGCTATTCCAGTCTGCAGTCAAGCACGGAGTCCTTCAGTCCTTCACCACATCTGTTCCATATTTCTCTTTAAACACTGCTGGAAATTGCCTTGAGAGAGTCTGTGGGAGAAACATGCCTTTCATGCGGCCAAGCAAGGAGATGAATTGCATGAACTCTTAACTTCTGTTTCTACATGTCTTTGATCTTCTGGGCTTGAGTTGTGTGTCACTAGGAGCAGGTCACTGTGAGAGCAGTAAGTAAAGGTGAAGCCTGTGAAATACCTGTGACAAAATACTTTGTAGCTGAGAGAAGAGTATTGTAGCTTCTAAGAAATATGAGGATTAATAGTTTGGATGTCAGACGTACTTCATTCTATGTTCAAATGATACATTCTAGCTACTACAGACATAGTTTGTGCTGACAGGTTCCTTGTCATCACCACTGAATGTCAGCTGGATCCAATTCAATACTTAAGTGACAATTACTATTGGAGGTATTATTAATAGCTAACCTATTTCCAGAGTAGTGTTTGGAAAGCCCTGATACCTTGTAAACATGGAGTAAATTTTTTGCAATTTCATAAAAAAAAATTCAACTCTTGCCCTCTGAGCTAACGAAGTAGCAACAGTTGGAAAACTGGTCCCAGGCTGAGTGTAACCCTAAAGTTTATAGCAAGGGTTCGATAAACCACGTTTATACAGTGCTTTCATGTTAAGGTTTCCATGCTTGGTAATTCATAGAAGTTCCTGAGATCTGATGCTTACCTATTGGTCTGAAAATTTTGGAGGTACTTCAAAATGAATTTTTTGGATGAATTCAGAGCACACAGATTGTTTCACAGAATCACAGAATTGTAGGGGTTGGAAGGGACCTCTAGAGATCATCGAGACCAACCCCCCTGCCAACCAGGTTCCCTAAACCAGGTTTCCTAAGCTTTTGATACAAAAGATGTGAATAAAATGATTCTTATTAATACGTTGTAAGACTGTCCAAAGATCTCTGGAAGCCTGAGTATTTCTTTGAGTAGATTTATTATATTTATGCCACCTGTGTGTTTTAAATGTTAGTAACTCTAATAAATACATTGGTTTTTACAGGCAGATCGGCTGAAAATAGACGTAATTGACTGGCTCGTATTTGATCCTGCACAGAGGGCTGAAGCACTCAAGCAAAGCAATGCTATCATGAGGAAGTTCTTGGGTACTCAACTTCACAAATACTGTAGACTTTTTAAGTGTTGGTTTTGTTCTCATTGACTTTTGGCAATGTGTTTGATCTGGCTTTGCATCTTGTGTGTTAAAAGGCATGGGTGTGATAGAGTATAGCACTGTACAGTGCATCTTTTTTCCTTATAGTGACTTAACTGTGATACAGTTTGTCAGTTTATGTAGGTAAAGTATGGAAATTGCACAGCAGCTGATACTCAATTCACATTCTTACAGCATCCAAGAAGCATGAAGCTGCAAAAGACGTGTTTGTGAAGATTCCTCAAGATTCTATAGCAGAAATATATAACCAATGGGAAGAACAGGGAATAGAAGCCTCTCTTCCAGCTGAAGACGACAATGCTATAAGAGAACACTTATGTATAAGGGCATATTTGGTGAGTTTTAAATAAACTGTGTTCCGAGTTATTAATAAATACTAATGTGATAATAATGTAAATAATGGTGGCTTTGCTTTGCTGGTGACAATTTAAGCTTTACCTATTTGAATAAACTTCTGATTCCTGGATACATTGTACCTGAAAGTTTACAGAATAGTGAGAGCTCCTTTCTGTACTCAAAATTAACAGATGTCCAAACATTGTTTCCAACGCAATGCAGGAAGCCCATGAAATCTTCAATAAATGGTTTCAGCACATGAACTCAGCTCCACAGAAGCCGCCTTTGTTGCCACAAGCAAGTTTCACTGAAAAAGTGGCCCATGAACATAAAGAAAAAAAATACGAGGTAGGTAAAAATTATTTACTATCAACATTTATGTTCTTGCTTAAGAGACAGTCTTAGTTTAACGAGCAGAAGTCTGCTCGTTCCTTTTGCTGAAGAACTCTATTTATAAAGTACTGTATTGATATGCCAAAAGAGGGAGTAGAAAACAGTACAATAGTAGAGCCACTGCACAAGAAATTCTCATACTTTTTTCCTGTGTGACTCAGATTTATTTGCAATACTGCATTATGTAATGGTTAAGTATTCACTACAATGTATTGTTTATCAATGTTATAAATAAATCTGAGTATTTGATTTCCCTAGTAACTCTTCCCTGGCTGAAGATTCTGATCTAAATTACAGCAATGCTGGCTGTGCAGCAGTGCTGCACGAGGTGAAGATTCTGCTACAGTAGCCTTGGAATCACACTGTCCAGCAGAAGATAATTTCCTGTTTCTTTGCCAGGTGGACTATGGTATCTGGAAAAGTTTCTTGGATGGTCTTACAAGTGATGTCAAGGAGAAAATGTACAACGTGTTGCTGTTCGTTGATGGAGGATGGATGGTTGATGTTAGAGAGGTAAAATAATTTTTAATGTCACGCCATGGGCCACAAAGTGCTGGATTGTATCCAGCTGTACCCTTGTCATCTTTAGTTCAATGTCCTTCTCTTTACTTATTAATAATTCTCTCTGGCCTTGCAGTCGCCAGTTATAGGTCACTTCCCCTTCAGGTATGATATAAACCAGATCTGGCAGTCCAGTTTAGGCTTAGTCCTGCTTTTTTTTCCTCTGACACTACAAATATCTTGATTATGTTGCCTTTTAAAGGTGGCTGTTTGTCATGCTAATGTATATTGTGCTTTGGTAAGGATGCTGAGGAGGACCCCGAACGAACGCATCAGATGATTCTGCTGCGAAAGCTGTGTCTGCCAATGATGTGCTTCTTACTGCACACGGTGTTGCACAGTACTGGGCAGTACCAGGAGTGCCTGCGGCTGGCTGACATGGTGGCATCCGAGCGACACAAGCTCTATACGGTGAGTTACTGAGAGCTGCAGGCAGCTTGGCTTCTAATTAAAAGCTCTGTGGGTTGGCTGTGAAAGAAGCTTCCGTACTGAAAGGAAGACACCATATGGTGCTGAACATCCTAAGTTTCTCCGTCTCTTCCCATTCACTGCAGTAGTAAAGAGTTTCTTTTTATGCTGATTAAAAGGAATCCGAGCGTTAACTTTGAAACACCAAAGGTGATGGCGGAATAGTTCTTCTGAGTACCAATTTTTCGATGACAGTAATTGAACTGAAAGAAGTTGAACTATAAAACTGTATTTCATTATAATTGATTTTTTTTCTCCATTACACTTCAGAGCATTTTATAAGCAGGTTTCACTTGGGAGCACTTGGTTTACCCAACCTTCTCCCTCCAAGACCCCCAAATTCAGTCCCCCAAAATACATACCTCACAAAAATCACATACCCAAAAGGCATCCATGTTGGATGGAAGTAGAGGATTAGAAACCAGATAGGAAACATCGAGCCTAAGAAAAACATTGTGATGCATTTGCATGGATTGCCTTTATAATATCTCTGCCAGCAATAACAGGAAAATTAAAGTTGTCAGTTCCCCAGTACTTTGTGTAGCAGCTGAGACAGAGTATCTGGACACTCCTTGTGGGGTTTGAGTACAGCTACTGCTCCCAGTCCCACACCAAATACCTTTCTGAAATATGGATCTGCTGTGGGCACTCTTCTAGATGAAAAATCAGTGAAGACATTGAGTAGCTCAGCAAACCACCATTCACTTTGATACCAGTGCAATTCCTTGCAAAGAAATATAACTCAATTATGTACTTTTTTTTTATTCTTAGGTATTTTCAAAGGAAGAACTCCGAAAATTCTTACAGAAGCTGAGAGAATCTTCTCTGATGCTTCTGGACCAGGATCTCGATCCCTTGGGATATGAAATTCAGTCTTAGAATTTCTTTTAGATATCTGCAAAACTTTTGATCGTTAAGTCTGGACACTTTGATCAACTTTGGTTCGTTGTGTAATTAATTCTGATCTTTATTCCAAGAAACACAATTACACAGATTTCGAAGTCCTGGCCAGCACAAGAGGACATTTGTTACACAGTCTCTTTTGTAACTTTTTTTTTTTCTAATAAATGTGCTTTACAAACAGAAAATGTTTGTTCATTCACATCTAAGCTGCCAATACACATAGAAAGGTGGTGCTGTGCGGACTTCCTTCGTGTACATGCTGAGAAGCTGCCTGTAGAGGAGAAGCGTTATTCAGCAGTACAAGAAAGCACGGGGGTGCAGCGGAAAAGGAAAGTGAGGCAGCGTGTGGAAAGCAGGGGAGGGGAAGGCAGAAGCACTGGGCGAAGGGGAACATCCAACAGAGGAAGCAGCGCTGCTGAAGGGCTCAGTTCCGTCATTCGAAAGATTGAGGTAATCCTGACCTGGGGAAGAAGCGATCGTGTCCGGAAGCGAGCGCGAGGTTCTGCGTTCCGTTTAGAAATCTTGCACGTTTACATGCGTAAATGCGTCTAGCTTCTCCCCTAAAGGGAGAGGCAGGGGGCGCAGCTCTAACGCAGAGGGCGTGACAGCGGCACCAGCTCCGCTAATTCAGCGCTCGCCGCCGCCTGACAAAGGCCCACCCCCGTCATCCGTGCCTGCTGACAACCGCACCGCCTGCTCGGGGCGGCGCACCCGCGATCGGAGCCGCTGCCGGGAGGAGCCCTGCCCTCAGCCGCCCGGCCCTCAGCCCCGCCGCTCCCGCCGGAAGGCGCGTGGCCACGTGTCGCGGGGCGGGGCTGGTCGCGGTCCGGCCGCTGCGCGCTGCAGCCGCTCGGGGCCGTGAGGGGCTGCCGCCCCACGGGGCGCGGCGTCCCGTCCCGTGCGGTGCGGTGCGGTGCGGTGCGGTGCGGTGCCGTACCGGCGGCATGGGCTGGGTGCCGGCGCAGGGGCGGCTGGCGGCGGGGCTGCTGGTGAACCTGGCCGCTTCCATCTGCATCGTCTTCTTGAACAAGTGGCTGTACGTGCGGCTGGGCTTCCCCAACCTCAGCCTGACGCTGGTGCACTTCGCCATTACCTGGCTCGGCCTCTACCTCTGCCAGGCGCTCGGCGCCTTCGCCCCCAAGAGCCTGCGGGCCGCCCAGGTGATGCCGCTGGCGCTCAGCTTCTGCGGCTTCGTCGTCTTCACCAACCTCTCGCTGCAGAGCAACACCATCGGCACCTATCAGCTGGCCAAGGCCATGACCACGCCGGTCATCGTGCTCATCCAGAGCCTGGCCTACGGCAAGAGCTTCCCGCTCCGCATCAAGCTCACCCTGGTGAGGGCGGGGGGGGGGTGGGGAGCGGGGGATGCGCGGGGCCGGGGCCGCGCCGAGCCAACGCCGCCGCCCCACGACGCCTCTCCGTCCCGCAGGTGCCCATCACGCTCGGCGTCTTCCTCAACTCCTACTACGATGTGAAGTTCAGCGCCCTCGGCACGGTGTTCGCCACGCTGGGCGTCCTGGTCACCTCTCTCTATCAAGTGGTCGGTACCGGCGGGGCCGGGGGGCGCGGGCGGGCTGCGCTGCGGGAGGGGCCGCGCCCCTCGGAGCGGAGCGGGCAGTGCCGCGCGGGGTGCCCGGCGGTCGGCTCTCGCTGCCGGCAGCTGCGGAGCGTCCTTGAGCTGCTGACGCTCCGTCAGCATCCTTCCGTGGTTCCCGCAGGGGCTGCGCTGGAGCTACGGAGATAGAGAAGGGTCGGGAGGGCGAGGCTGAGGTCCCTGTGTGTGCTTAGCGCCGAGCAGAGGAGCTGAGGGAGGCCTGGTGGCGGCTGCAGCTCCTCACAGGAGCGGAGGGGCAGCGCTGAGCTCTGCTCTGTGTGACAGCGACAGGGCCTGAGGGAACGACATGGAGCTGTGTCAGGGGAGGGAGCTGGGTTGGGGTTCTTCACCATAATGCGGTGGTGTGGCACGGGCTGCCCAGGGCAGTGGGCACGGCCCCGAGTGCTGGAGTTTTGATTTTGGATGTTCCCATGAGGAGCTGGACTCCTTACAGGGCCCTTCAGATTCAGGATTTTCTGTGATAATGCCCAGTGTAACCTTCTACTCAGTTGTGGTAGAAGAACACAGAGTGGCTCAGCCCTTTCTGCTGCTGTTTTTCAACACATCAGTCTGCCACAGTTCTAAAAGCAGCCCCCGTCCTGCTAAAGAGATGATGTCTCAACTTGAGCCCCTTTGATTGCAGTACGCACAGAGTGCTCTGGAATGTGAGATGACAGATAGTGGTGGTTTGTCCTGTTTGGGGCAGAATGGTAGAGATGCTGGAGAGTGGCTTCAGGTGGCTGGGGAAGTGATGGTACCTGAGGATTTATTTTTTTAATAGCAAATGTATATTGGAATTCGTGTTGCCAACAAATGAGATGTGAAAGGAGGAAAGGTCACCACGTTTGGTAGTCAAATATTTTAATATAGCTTTAGAAATATTCCTGGCAACAAACAGCGCCATTTTTGTCTTTGGAAGTAAATGTATCACTTTGGAAATGAGCATAAGTTGTGCTGTGTTCAAAGAGGCAGCAGTTTAGAAGGCAATAAACATGCAAGCATGTTTATATATCCAGAATGTAGTGTAGGAGGCAGCCCTTGCAGTACTGCAACTCTGCCCTGACCAAGGTGCCTCTTTCGTAGGCAGGATCTTGAATTTCCCATGAGTAAAGGGGAGCTAGTGTTTTCTTCCCAGCTCTGTTCCTTTTTCGTTATCCTGAAGTGTAACTCTTCCTGTCAGGAAGGAAGAGAAGGCTGAGGTGCCAGGCATTTGGCTTAGAGGGGTCTCACTGTGTTCCCTTTCATAGAATCACAGAATCGTTCAAGTTGGTAGGGACCCTTAAAGGTTATCTAGTCCAATTCTCCTGCACTGAACAGAGGCACCTACACCTAGACTAGGGTGCTCAGAGCCCCATCCTGTCTGAGCTTGTCTGAGTGTCTTCAGGGCTAGGTAGACTCAGAAGGCAAATTTCTTCTCACGTGGCTGTGCTCCATGTGCTTGTAGTCACAAAAGACAAATATCTGGTTTGGCAAAGGTGGATGGTAGCACTCACCAGTCTGTCTAAATGGTGTTGTCCGTGTGAGATGAGACACCCTCTGTGCTAGCAGGTGGTTTGCTTCTGCTCAAATTGTGGGTTGTTTTCCTGATGTTTAACAGCCTTCTCTTTTGGTCTTAGTGGGTCGGAGCAAAGCAGCATGAACTGCAGGTAAACTCCATGCAGTTGCTGTACTATCAGGCACCCATGTCCTTGGCCATGCTGCTGTTCATCATTCCCTTCTTTGAACCAGTCTTTGGAGAAGGGGGCATATTTGGGCCCTGGACGCTTTCTGCCGTGGTAAGGCTTTCATCCACTTTTGTCTGTACTGACACAAAATTGTTTTATTTTTGTTCTTGATGTGTTCCTCTTTCCTGATATGTTGTATCTGAAAGTAAAGGAACTACAGGTATCTAGAGGTGGTCAGAAGTATGTGGGGTTGCTGACTGTGTGCATTAATCCACAGATAATGGTACTGCTGTCTGGTGTGATAGCCTTTATGGTAAACTTGTCCATTTACTGGATCATTGGGAACACATCGCCTGTCACGTATCCTTTGTAACAGTAGTTGCCTTTCCTGTTTCCATATCAATTATGCTAGCATTCATTTGGATTGATTTACTGTGGGAAAACCGGCTTGTGACCTGCCTGCTTTCTCTTATATGATTAAGCTGGGAAAGCACATTCCTTTTTTTTTTAGCTTAATTCATAGAACTGTAGGATTGTTATGGTCGGAAAAGACCTCTAAGATCATCAAGTCCAATCATCAACCCATCACTACCATTCCCACTAAACCATGGCCCGAAGTGCCACCTCTAAATGTCTCTTTAACACCTCCAGGGATGGTGATCCTACATGAGTTGAATGTGATACACCTTTGTGTGCCCTGAGCACAACTAACCAAATTCCTAAACGTTCTCTGTTAACTGCAAATGCCAGTGTGATTTTGTGTAATCCTTAACAGGTGCTTAGATACAACATGTTCGGACACTTCAAGTTCTGCATCACCCTGCTGGGAGGGTGCCTCTTGTTTAAGGACCCCCTGTCTGTTAACCAAGGCCTTGGCATTCTGTGCACGTTGTTTGGCATCTTAGCCTACACGCACTTCAAGCTTAGCGAGCAGGAAAGCAGTAAGAGTAAATTGGTTCAGCGTCCATAAAGCAGGGCTTTCTGGGGCTTAGCAATGCTATGTTGTGAGGGACAACGAGTACTTAAATCTGCATTGATTCTAGAATGCACAGAATTGCCTCATTCATTTAGAACGGTGGCTTTAATTTTACTGCCAGGATGGTTATTCTGTAACTAAAGCAAACAAACTGAATGATGTGAAATGTCAGGGTTCTCCTATCTCACTCTGTCCGATCGTTTTCATTACATTTAAGTGGTAACTTAACAAAGAACCTGGCACGCTTCAAATTGCTGTGGAAATGTTACTGCGATCATTGTATTTTTTGCATACCAAATGAGATGGTGGTGGCTGCTGTTATGAGACAGAGAAGTAATGTCACATTTGCGATCATGCCTGTATTGTGATCTGAAGAAACTTGGAGGCACTGTAATGCGGATGTTCTGGCTCCTGGCGATGCTTCCTCCCTTTTGTTTGGTAGGTGACAGAGAGGAAATCTCCCACGTTTTGTTGTTGTAAAGAGGGCTCTGAGCTCATTCCTATTTCTTGTATGCTTGACTTGAATGCATTGACAAATGAGGGGAGACCTGGAAAACTTGAAGCCCCAGGCCAAGCTGTAGATAAACATGAAAAGAGATCTGAACAGCTATCTTCAGTTTTTCTTCTAAGCTGTCAGGGAGTCAGCTCATTCATTAGTGTTTTTAGAAAACCTGCTACTGCTTCACGACTTTCTCTTTGCCAAAACAAGGCTTGACGTGAGATGGCGAGCCTGCTAAAATCTCTGATTTCGTGGTGGTCGCCAAATGCTTTGCAGCACATACAGGTGAGCAGCCGTGCTCAGAATACCCGTGGAGGAACATGGAGAAGGGTCGCTGAGCGCGGCGAGATGCGGCCTGGGGATGCGGGCCCTGAAGCGCACTGATGCGGCTGGAGGGCGTGATTTGGGATTGGTGGCTGTGTGCTAATTCAGGAACGCTTTGCCAACGACTTTGTGCCAGTACCAAGCGCTGATATGACAGCATGGGAGGAAGAAGTTGAGTACTGTTCTATTTTAAATACGACATAAAAAATAAATGCGCTCAGTAAATCTGGTGAAAGCATATGTTCTCTAGATTTGCAAGGTTAGAATTGATTTGCAGTATCTTCTTACATTTTGGGCTTTATTTCGTCTTCATCTACCTCTAGCAGATTTAAAGAGGGGAATTACATGAACGCAAACAGGTACGGACGTTTACAACCGTGGACAAAAATACGTCGTTCCTAGGAGCTAGGTCTTTGTGTAAGAAACAACGTACATCTTCTGAAGAGTAGAAATTCCTTATTCTGTTACACAGTTCTCCACTTTAGAAAGAAATACTACTCTGTGTAACCTGAATTGCACTGCAACACTCCATAACATTTCAGAGTTAGATATACCTGGATAACTTTACACCTCTACTCTTTCTTAGACATTGTTCTGGTCCAAGGAAAAGTTTTTGTATACGTTTTTGTAATTCTATAAGTAGTTTTAAAATGGAGCCTTGACTGCTGAGAGAGGTGTTCAGGACAGTCTCTAGATGCACATCTTTCAGTAAGTGCTCTGAGAAAGCCATTTGCATTAATTTGTGCTGTGCACAAGTTCTTCTAAAATGTAGACAGGCCATAAAGATTCCTACAGTTTGGGGACGGCGACTGAATTAGAAGTCTGTATGACAGCAGCGTGTGAGATGGGACTGATGTACACATAAAGTGGCAGAATGAACAGAACAAAATGCCTGCCAAGACGAAAGACTGTAGGGACAGGAGCAGATCCACAGGAGAAAGCAAGGGGTATTGTGTAAAATGGAACTTTACTAATATGGACTGACTGTGGGACATGTCAGTGAAGTCAGTCACCTGTGTGACGTGATTGTTTCCGTATGTTCAGGAACTCTCCCGTGAGATGTACCTATTGTCCCTAACTAATAAAGTATCTTGAACTACTTTTGGCATATAATTCAAAATGTTAACTGTGGGAAGCTTGTGTAATTGCTGGGTAAGTGATCTCTTTATATGTATTGTTTCTTTGGATGCCATGTGTAAGGTGGAAATAAATTTTTTAATGCTTGACTGATCCCTGCATATTGAGGAGAACTGTCCTCGTTTTTCTCATCTCCTGCTTGAACAATCTGTGCTTTCAGAGTGTGTAAAACAAAATAGTATTGCTTGGGTTTCTGTCTGAGTAACTTAAGGGGAATTTGCATGTTTTGGGGCTGAGCTCATGGCACATGAGAAAGGCTGCGTGCCTCCCCTCCCTCTGCAAGATCATGGACCACACACATATGTATGCACGTGCTTGCACACATACAGGCTGCCTGCGTGCTTTTATTCACCCCCTTCTCAGTATCCCCCCCCAAATCCTTTCTGAATGCCCAGTCCCTGCATGTCCTCTCTTCCTTTCTGTCCTGCACAAAGATCCCCAGTGCAGAGGTTCTCTTTCCGGAGGTACTGTGTGTGTTTTCCTGACTGCTCAGGCTCCATCCTCATCCCACTGCAGAAATGGCCCTATGCTCTCTGGATGGTGCTGGTGAAGAATGGTGCAGAAAAATCACTGGTACTTATCTAGGGGGAGAGATGCTTGCTCTGGATTTTACTGCTTTGTTTTCCTGCTAATTATATGTATTTAATTCAGTTTTGGCTTTCATCAAAGAGAAACCAGAGTTTGGCATCATTAACAATGTGTAGTGTTACCCTCTGCGTGCCTTCACGTTTGAAGCCATACTGTAGAAACCATGGTATTTACTTTCTGCTTTTGTTTTTATGTTCTACAAAAGACTAACCTGTAGATACAAGTTGCACCTTGGTCCTATCAGGTGCTTTGCTGCTTAGGTTAATGTTCTTCTCTTTTAAAAAGCTACACTAACTATAGATGGAGGGGAAAAACTAGCTTAGATATGAGGGTGGCATTTAAAAATGAGAGCAGATACAGATGACTCCAATTAGCTTACCCTACCAGTGACTCATATTTTATCTTTGCTCGCTAACCCTGTCCCTGCAAATACTGCAGATGCCAAGTTTTCTCATTTTCCCCAAAGCAATAGGAAATGTGCCTTCACCAACGGACAGATTCTCAGTACAAAGCTTGGTGTTAGCACTAGCTTTGGTAACTCAGCACTTTTCTGACAGATTTTGCATCTGGTTTTGTGTGTGTTCCTGCAGGCTCTGGGAGGCACCGTGCCAGAGGAGTTTTCCTGTTGCTGGGTGAGCAGCTTCTCTTTCAGGCATGAGGTTGAAGGAGGGTGGTGTGCTGTTGCTAAACCTATCAAAGGCCCGTTTGTTCTCCAGGAAATCCACCTTCAAGACAGAGCTTCAATTGAGCAGGAATGTGTCCTTTCTCTGTCTCATTCCATGAAATGAATGCCCAGCAACAGCTAAAGCAGCCTGAAAACCTTGTTTGGGCTGCCCATATTAATAAACTTTTTTTGAAAGTAGTGCCCTATGTAATAGGAGATTCAGAAGACTGTGTTATAGCATTTTGGAGTACAGGTAATGTTTAACCAATGTCTAGTTTGAATTATCTGCAAAATCTATCAGAAGGAAATGTTGGCTCTCTTAATAGGCTGTTTGCATTTATAGGGTTGAGCTGCTGAGAAGAGACTTGCTCCTGAGCAGTACCATGCTACCAAAGACTGCCATGCTGTCCTTAAATTTAGCAGTGACTTATAAATATCCTGCAATTCAGCAGCCTTCTCGAGAAGGGAAAAAGCAGATTTGCTCTGATAGGTGAGAGAACTTTGTATCTTCTTGGGATTTGACAACAAACGTGGGACTTGCAGTTTAAGGGAATTCAGAGAACAAGCCTGGTTGTCCCTCAATTTACCTTTTGTTTTAAGATTTTTCTCCCAGGATGTCTGTTCTGCTCCCTGGTGTGCACTCAGTTATTTCACCTGGATTTTAAAAGAAGTGTATTTTGGTTTACAGACCTAGGGCCTGTGAGTTTTTTTTGCCTCTCACCATTTTTTTGGTAGCCATTCATAACCCAACTTCCTTGTTTAATTAGAAACAGAAGAGGAATGGGGAGTAAAGGAGAATTAGAGTGGGTAAGTGGTGAAGATACCCTTTGTTTTGCAAAACCTCACTCTAACTGGGACGATGCAGTTCTGTTAGCCCCTCCAGTATTGTCATGTAGATACAAAGAAGCAACGCATTTCTATTGCAGACAGGTTCTCCTCCTGCTGGTACTCTGATAGCAATCTCAGCCTTCCATTTGGCAGCTCAGTTGCTGCAACGATAGAGAAGGAATAGAACATGAAGTGAGAAGCCATCAACGGGAGCCAATACCATCTTGGGTAGTGAGAAATCCTACTGTAATACATAGAGCCATTTCACCAGGCATATCCATGCTAAGCACGAGGGAGAGCTGTCGGTTTACCTCCTGACAGGTATTGCAAAAATTGAGTTGTATGAATTCTTGCTATGCTGTAGTAGTTGACATACTGAGCTTAAACGAACTGTTAATAATTGAACACATGGATGCCGTGCAAAAAGAAATAAATAGCTGGATTCAGTCAGTATCAAATCTTTGCCAGGCTCTTCCTGCAGATGTGGATAACCTTCCTGAGAAGGGAGTTAGTATTCTACCTCCTGCTCGCTCGGTGGTGCTGTGAGTACAGAAGACGGTTTGTGTGCCTGAGAGCTGCCCTCTGTTTTCAGCCACGTTCACTGGTCCAATGAAAACATCTTGTTTCCCTATTAGCTTGTCTGACCATGCTTGAGCAACCTGGTAGCCTTCTATGATGTTGTCACTGGCTGGGTGGATGGGGGGAGAGCAGTGGATGTAGTCTACCTTGGTTTCAGCAAGGCATTTGATACTGTCCCCCACGACATCCTTATAACAAAGCTGAGGAAGTGTGGGATAGATGAGTGGACAGTGAGGTGGGTTGAGAACTGGCTGACTGGCAGAGCACAGAGGGTCATTGTTGGCGGTGCAGAGTCTGGCTGGAGACCTGTAAGCAGCGGTGTTCCTCAGGGGTCTGTGCTGGGTCCAGTCTTGTTCAACATCTTCATCAGTGACCTTGATGAGGGGATAATGGCCACCCTCAGCAAGTTTGCTGATGATACGAAGTTGGGAGGATTGGCTGACACACCTGAAGGCTGTGCTGCCATTCAGCGAGGCCTGGACAGGCTGGAGAGCTGGGCAGAAAGAAACCGGATGAGGTTTAACAAAAGCAAGTGTAGAGTCTTGCACCTGGGGAGGAATAATTGCATGCACCAGTACGGGTTGGGGGATGAGCTGCTGGAGGGGAGCCCTGCGGAAAGGGACCTGGGTGTCCTGGTGGATGACAGGTTGGCCATGAGCCAGCAGTGTGCCCTTGTGGCCAAGAGGGCCAATGGCATCCTGGGGTGCATTAAAAAGAGCGTGGCCAGCAGGTTGAAGGAGGTGATCCTCCCCCTCTACTCTGCCCTGGTGAGGCCTCATCTGGAGCACTGCGTCCAGTTCTGGGCTCCCCAGTACAAAAAAGACAGGGATCTCTTGGAAGGAGTGCAGCGGAGGGCCACAAAGATGGTGAAGGGCCTGGAGCATCTCTCCTATGAGGAAAGGCTGAGTGATCTGGGTCTGTTCAGCCTTGAGAAAAGAAGACTGAGAGGGGACCTGATTCAGGTCTGTAAATATCTAAGGTGTGGGGGGCAGAATGGCGAGGTCGGACTCTTTTCAGTGGTGAGTGGAGACAGGACAAGGGGAAACGGCCGGAAACTGCAGCATAGGAAGTTCTGCACCAATGTGCGCAAGAACTTCTTTACAGTGAGGTGATGGAGCACTGGAACAGGCTGCCCAGGGAGGTGGTGGAGTCTCCTTCTCTGGAGATGTTCAAGACCTGCCTGGATGCCTACCTGTGCGACCTGCTGTAGGGAACCTGCTTTGGCAGGGGGGTTGGACTCGATGATCTCTGGAGGTCCCTTCCAACCCCTACAGTTCTGTGATTGTCTTGCAGAGTTTCTGTTTCTACCTTCATCTGGCTGACTTGGGTCTTGCTGTTATCTTCCTGATGGCTGAAGGATCTTTTCTGGGGAAATAAAACATACTCAGTGTCCAGTCAGCTCTGCTGTAGGGGATCCACCCCAAAGGGTCATTGCTGCAATCTGTGGTACAACTGAAACTAACAAAAGTTGAAATGCATTCCGTTCTCATTGGTAGTGTTGAAAGGCAATTACCCATCTTTTCAAAATGCAGTCTTTGCCATTTCCTTTTAGGAGGCGCATAAGAAAACTCCCTTTCTTGTTGCAGTCTGCCCTTTTGTATGAAGTGTAGCTATGCCATCTTCTAGGGAATTTGGCAATTGAGACAGAAATTGTATTCATAGCTATATAAATACAGGATACACATGCAGGCTGGCAGTGTTTCCGAATGGCCAGGTTTATTTTTAGACCTCTAAACGGCTGTGTCACATCCAGGAAGTGCAGGGAGGAGATCTCTGGTTGAAGTTCAATGTGAGAACATATTTTTAATGACGTTGGCACAGAAAACAGTTGTATTTTTACTTCTTTAAAGGTGAGGCTGAGAGACAAATTTATTTAAAGGAGCTGCCTGCTGGTTGGGTGGAGCACACGGAGCTATCACAGCCCTGGCATGCCCAGAACAGAAGTGACTGTGTGTTTAAAAAGTAATAATAACAAAAAGAAAACAAGATTGGATTAATAGGTAACTGAGTGAAGCTTACAGCGTATGGATACACTATACATATAGGCATGTTGGCAAGTTTATGAGTACAGAGTCTAAGTTTAGGTACCTAACTCCACCATTAGGATTTTGAATAACAGGGCTGGATCTGTTGGGGTCAACTTCTTCCCTTTCTGTTGTACTTAATGGAGAATGGTGTGTGCTCAGCCTTTCCAGAAGTGAAGCTGCATAGTTGACAAGTTTGACATTTTTCTGGTCTCCAAATCAATGAGGTATGCTGTTCAACAGTGAGGCAGAGTCTTTGTGCTGCTTCCTTACCCTGTAATATTTTTTTCTTTTTCACTTTCTTACTCTCTTACTCTCTGGGGGGAAAAGCACTGTTTTTTTTCCTGTTGTTGGATAGCTAAATGCAGGGACTGGATAGGTTTTGTTTTACAGTACGCTGCAGTTGCATCAGAAAAGCTTTTATTAAAATGTAGTTTATTTACAAATGTGTATGTTTCTATCCCTTAGCTGAGTGGGAGAAGCCCACTGTGCCTTAGAATATCAGCTGTCATAAGATAAAATGCTGCTGTCCAAGGAGCACAAAGGGATCTTAGGGTCTTCTGGGGTCCAGGCTGGTTTGCCTGTTAAATATATTTGTTGTGATGGTTAGGCTGTAATGCTGGCTCTGTTAATCCAGCTAAAAGGAGAAACCAACAGCAGAGGTCACATGTGTTTTAGGCAATGATATTTCTGAAAACATCTTCCCAGTTTTATAAATGCAAGATGACCCTTCTGATTAGGATAAACAGTATTCCCATGCTTTTCTGCTGGTGTCGTTTTCTGGAGACCCACTTCTTCACATTGCACAAGACTTTGGTTTGCATGTTATAAATATAAAAGTAGGGAGAGATGCAGGAGACTTGTTTACAAACAGAATCCAAGCAAAAGTTCCCCCTAAGGGCTCTTCTGATTCATGGATAGTTTGCCTTTATTAGAGGTGGACAGGTCATTGTCATACCCCTAAGCAAATCCTGGGCCGTGCTCTAACCTGCAGCCCCAGGTGGTCCAGCTGATGGTCCAGCTGATGGCACAGCGGATGTGTAGTGGGGAGAGTGATGGAGCACGCAATGCTCAGCACCTGCAGTGCTTTGGTGCTGCAGAACTAGGTGTGAGATTACAGAACCAGTTGTATTTGGTTGTCGTTCAGACCTCAACATTGCATGAGGCATTTTGACGCTGGTCCTGGTTTTCAGCCTGCTCCTTTTAGCAGAACAAGTCTGTGCTGCATCAGCTGCTTTTCCTTCCCTGAAGACAGCTTTACTCATGTGACAGTCTATAATAGTTCACATTGTGTCACATAAGCTGGAAGTCAGTGAGATATTACTGTCAAAGGTTGGTTAATTTCTACTTGCTGTTACTTGTCCCTGGGCAAGCTGGGATTTAAATCTCTTATAGTTAAGTATTCTCAGTGTTTTCAGAACCCTGTAAAAGCAAGATAAGCAGTCCCCTGCACTTGGAGGTTTCCTTTTAAAAATACAGTCAAATCAATATATACAAAGATATTTAAATACATTACATTAGGATATGATATCCTTACTAGTGGAATTTAACATCTTGGGGCTATGAACAAATGAAATAAACTTTGGGACAGACTTCTGCAAAAGTGGTTTGCTGTGATTGGGTTGCAGCAGGGGAGGAAGCAATAGACAATGGGCTCTGAGAGGCTCCACTTGTGTTGAAAACTAGAAAGAAAACCTAGCAAAAATGAAGGGCTGATATCCATGCATAGTATAGAGAACACCATAAAGTTTTCTTAGTCTTATTGGAGTTATAGTTTCAGTCTTCTTTAAAATAGTTCTATGGCTGCATGGACCAAGGGGACAGTGATGTCCCCAGCTGCTTGTGGCTTCTCCTCTCCTAGAGACCATTGTCCTTTCCCATCCACGTCAGCACAGAGGAATGTGTGCCAGTGCCATAGTTTCATCTGGATGCAGCCACTTGAGCAACAGCTTAGCGTGCCAGACTGTGATCTGAGCCCACTGGGATGTGGGCAGTGATCCCGCCCTGTAGTGTGCTGTGGGGGCGGTAAGCTTTGCTATAAGAGAGGAATCAGCAGAGGGAAGTGATGTCTGGAACTGGAACAGCTTTACTTGCTCGAGCTGCTTGATCAAAGCTATATTAACAACAGCAAATCTTGCCTGCTACTAGGCAAAGAAATATCAAGATCATAATTTTGGAATTGTGGGGGGAGAAAGCTTTGAAGGCAATGCAAAGATTTAGCTGCGTGATGAGTGATCCTCCCTTCTCGCTCTTGTTAAGTTGCTGCAGTAATATATATGCATTTGCTATCAGTAAGAAAACTCTCTTAAGCAGCTGCGCAAGTGAAATGCAAAACACACAGCTGAGACGTGCTCTCTGGATGTCAGGATGTGCACTGCCAAAGAAGCTCTCAGAGAAGAGAACAGGTTTAGCTTGAAGTACAGAGTGAGCTATAAAACAGAACAGTCTGCAAATTCCCATCAGAAGTGTTTTTGCAGGTATAATCAGCCCAACATTCCTTGCAAAGAAAGCTTTCAGCTTCCTTGCAACACAGGAATAAGGGGGTAGGGCAGCATGTACTCTTCTCCTTACACAGCACTTGAGGGCAACTTCTGGGAATTTGGTTCAATCTCATGAGATACCGCAGAGATTATCAGCCCCAGTGACTTACCACAGGTGGTGGCAGGACACCCAGAGTGCGGTGAGGTGATAAGGGAAATGCCACTGAATGGCTCTCTGCCTTTAGAAGGGATTATTCCTGGGCCCCATTTCCATCTCCCGGTCTCTGCTTCCAGCTGCGTGTTCCTTGTGATGTCTCATGCCTATCTGACTGCATGGTAAAGCAAGCTGACTGGCAGCAAATAAAAGTAAACAGCCTGCTGTTGAATCAGATAGCTCTGTGGTCAAATGAGCCAAAGCCAGCTCCCAGAAAAACTTGGCTGGGAATTCACAGCTCCTGGCAAGACCATTGTGTGGAGTGTTAAATGAGCTCAGGACATGTTTTCAGTGCATCACTTAACTAAGGGAGATAGCTGTGTCAATCCAACAGCCAGCAGTGAGGAGAGGAGGAAGGGAATAGGGCAGCTCCCTTTTGCAGTGGTATGCTTTGAAGTCAATCGAGCTGTCTGCATATTGGCAGCACTAGTACTACGCCTAAGCTAGCTGAAGCAGATCCTGCCGTTTCCCTGCCCACCTGTCTGCCACCATCCCAGCTATGACCCGGCCCAGCCACTGTGGAACTACTCAGGACTACGTCAGGAATTTGAGCTAACTGAAAATACGATGAGCAGAGGTGGTATGCAGATAGTGTGGCTGATGAGGAATCAGGGACAACAGGCCCAAGTCAATAGTTCCCAGCAGCTCTATTTGCCCTATCTAGATATAGTGGCATCTCCTGCACTGCAAGAGTTAAAGAGCAGGAAAGGCAAAGTATTTGCCAAAAGGGATGGTCTGTATTCCACCAGGCCTTCTTCAGTAAAAATTGAAGAAAAGCAAATATTCTCATGAATCTTCTGGTGTAGAAAGCCACTTATGTGCACTCACACATACGTTACTGCACTGCATTTCTGAATGTGTTTGAGGCTTATTTTGTCTATGCAAGGTAACTCTGGCTTGTCTTCTGACAACCAAGTTGGTCATGATGTAGGAATCTCTCTCAGATCCAGAGGCAGGTTTGGAACTTTTCCCTCATGAGTAGCACTACCATGGTCCATTTCTCTCAAAATGTTCTCTCATGCTGTGCCATCTGGCCTTGGCTCATTTCTAAATGACATGATTTTAAGATAAGTAAGATGGGTCAAAAGTCAAAATCCAGTGACTGCATATCTCTTCTGATACACAAGAAAGGTAGAAGGAGCTGCCAAGGAAAAGTTTACAGAATCAAAGCTACTATAGATAACAATAATGAGATGGCTGATCTAATCTGGGCGTTGAGACAGACTCTGTGAAACCAGCTGAGTGAAAGAATACCAAAATGTCCATGGACATGCTTGCTCTGGAAGATAAGAGAGAATTGAGAAATTAAGCCTTTAATAGACTAAAACAAAGCATAGAACAGATATTCATTGTGAGTTTTTCTTTTGCAGAGCTCAGTTTGCGTCCTGCTTTTACAATGGCATCAGCGGGTTTGTGAAAGTTTTCTGCATTTATTTCCAAGAGCCTTTCTTTGCGTGTTTAAAATGGAGAAAAAAAAAGAACAACCTTTCTCCACCAGATGGCAGAATCACTCACAAGCCATTCCGGACAAAACTTCGAAAGTCTGCATGTTCTAAGGCTAAGTGAGGCAACCTTTGTAAACAGAGCGCTGTCTGTTAGATCAGCTAATGTAGCCAGGGGAGACGGCAGGAAAACAACCTTAATGACACCCTTCAGAAATGCATATACCAGCTGGATTTGTATATCCTCTTTCCCTGCAAAGCTTGCCTTGCTGATAAACACTGTGGATGTTATCCTGTCCTTTAGAAAGAGGTTTCAATTTGTAGAACTGCAAGGGTGGGGATTCCCCTTCATTTTCCTATTTCGTATTTAGTCAGAACCAAAAACTTATTCTGGAACAAAACCAAGTCCCCTTCAACTACTACTCGTCTTGCTCAAGTTTCTCTAGCACAGCTGGGCTCATCAGAGACCTCCCTGGGCTAAAACATACAACACACTGGCAGCCAGCACCAGGTGACTTTCAGACAGGAGCTATGAAGACTCCAAAGTAAAAAATAAATAAATAAATAAATAAAGGCAAGGTGTCAAATATATGGACATTAAAACAGTAAAAAAAGAATAAACCCTCCTGCATTGTACTTCTGAGTTAATCCAATTGTAGAAACGTTTTCAGATGTAACTAGAAAAATGAGGACATGCAAGAGTTAGTCTTGCATGAGAGTAAATCAGCTTACAAGCTCTTGGTATGAAACTACTTTTTAAGGGTTGAGAGGGCATATATTTAAACAGACTGTGAAAATACTACCAAAATATAGGGGACAAAGAGACAAAGAATATGCAAGTAATGAGAGAGGTACCAAAGGGGGCAAGTGGAGAAACTCCGAGGTGTACATAAAAGATCGCTTGATCTCCAGAATGCCCAAACCCTGCTTAGTTTCTCACTGCAGCTTTGAGGGTGGAAAACATACAAGAGCTTCCCCCGTGATTCAGGAGAAGTCTGTGACTGTCATATACCAGGGCTTTGTCACCCCAGTTGGCACGAGCAGATTAATCATCCAGGCTGCAATAACAGAACTGTGTTTATGAAGGTTTCAGAAGGCCTCCCAGGAACACCCAGCTGTTTTCTTGGCCGGCTCATTTCCCTGCAGTTGTAGCTGAAAGGCCTGGGTACCATGCTTATCCCCTCACACATGGCCTCATACATTTCCAACAGAAAAATGGTTTTATTCTGAGTTAGATTGCTGTTGAAGGAGAAATAATTTTTGCAGAAACCTGTAGATCTTCAGGGACATTTGCATGTTCTGTTATAGAACAAAAGTATTTCCTGGTTTGTTCTTCCTCACCAGTCATGGTTCCTTAATTCTGGGAGATGAGGTTCAGTCCCTACTTCCCAGGCCCTTTCTTAGCAAACACCTGAATAGGAAAAAGGAACTCTGAGATGTGGTGTGAGCAGCTGCAGCATGGGAAATGGATACAAATGACATTCAAGTGAAGGCTAAATAGGTGCTTTCCATGTTTTAGTGGCAAGGGACAAACCCTGAGGACAGATGGAAGGAAGAGGTCCCAAACGGACCCATTAAGAACATCAGCAAATAAATCTTTGTATCACATCTTTAACATTCACTAACCTGATGACACCGTGTTGATAATGCACTTAGACAATCCTGGCAGGTTTTGGCAAAGAGAGAGCAAGATGATTAGTTATGTTCTTTGTGAAGATCCAAGTACATGTAGGATGCAGGAAGTAAACCGCGTGATCAGCCAAAAATAAAAATGAAAGATGCAAATTCTAAGAGACTTCAGAAATATAAACCCTTTGCCAGAAGAAATTTGGGAAAGGATCACTCAGGGTGAAAGTGCAACTACATAATAACAAGGTTGTATGAATATTGGGGCAGTTGAATAAGTTCTGTGTACATTCTCTTCCTTTTCAGATCTTTCTTTTGATCAGAATGTTAATACATCACTGGAAACACAATAACAATCATTATTAATAATAACAGTACTTTACTGCATGTTCATTATGGTTTGCAAATTTAAAGATTAAAAGACAATGTGCTTCAGGAAGACTGCCTCTCCAGTATACCCTGCTTCCTGTGTAAAGCTCAAGATGCCCGGGGTACAAAGCGCTGTATCACAGCCTACTTTGCCAACGAGGCAAAGGGAAAACTTGGTGCAAGTTTGTCCATAACTGTCTGGGATTCATCAGTGAATTTATTTTGTACTCTCCCCTCTTGTCATTTTTGTATTTATGCTGACTCTACACGTAGAAAGCCTACCTTTTCTGTGTCTTTCTTCCTATAAGAAGTCTTTCAAATCAAATAGACGCCATTTTGAAGGGAAAAGGGCAAGACTGGAATAACCACTGTCTGGACAAAGAATTACATGATAGTTTGCTTGTTGACAAAGAAAGCAATGCATTTTTTTGCTTGTGTGCAAGCTCACAAGCTTACTATTAGCAGTCCATAAATTGCATCTTCTTGGTTTGGGTCTCTGCTGGAGTTCAGGTTGATTTTCTGACTGTGATTCAGGATGTTCCAGGACATCTGCAGATTTAGACTGCTAGTTTCACAAGGTGAACAAAACATCAGTCAGAAGAGTCCATACCACTACAGACACTGAAATAACTGAACTAGCACTGGAAGAGCTCCTTCCTAGCAGAACTGCAGAACCCTTCTCTCACACCCTGTGGTGATGGTACTGCTCCATCAGCCCAGAGAGAGCCTTTGTACTTCTGTGACAGTGTTCCTTACTTAGATGTGGTTGTTTCATGTTTGTGCTAAAGCAGGTATTCATTCACCAGCAGACAACTGGACAACATAAAAAACTTCTCTTCTTGCTAAGCAACAAGTAGTTGTAGCAATTAGATGGTGAGGTGATATTTCATCGGGATATACCTGAATATAGATAAAAAAGATGTAGGTTTGATAGCCAGGAAAGCAAGGTGACACTTCAAAAGGATGACTGAGCTGGGTGCAACATTTTATTTCAGGATACGTATGCATCCATGTCTGGTCTGGAGGAGACCTAATCTCAAACAAGTTTAGAGCAAACTTATCTCAATAAACCCATTTCCAGCGTAGGCGTTGGAATGCTCTCTGTAGATTCATAAGGTAGCCTGTTTGTGATGGCTAGGGACTCCTGAGTGAGATTACTCACATTAACCTTCAGGATTTCAATAGGAAGCTGCCCTAGGGTGGGTAAGGCTTTCAGTAAAGTGCTCCCAACGACTTGGCTAACTGCTGGTATTGTTTCACTCCATGTATGTTAAAAGCTGTATTTGTAAAGCAATGCTTTCAAAAGCAGAGATCAGTCCGATACCAGGAGAATGGTGACTTTGTAATTCACATGCCACATCTATCGTTAGCAGAAGGGAAATGCAGAGGCTTCTTCAGAAATGGGTAGTTCATTGTGTGCAATGTAAAATCATACAGCGAAAGGGCTGCACCAACCAAACATTACACTGTGAAGCAGAACACAACCAGGTCTGCAAGGGAGGGAGTTACAGCAATTTTAAGTTCCAAAATAAAGACTACTATTTCTTGTGTAATACGCAGCTCGAAAGTAAGAAGGAGAGCAGGCAGGAGACATGTGGACAAATACATCAGCGGGGCTTGGACAACGGTAGGAGATCCACGGCCAGACCACAATGCAGGGCCTGGTTAAGGAGCTGCTTGTGTCATGTAATGTAACGCCCCGCGGGCCTCTGTTGTTAGCAACGAGCAGTTGGAATCACGGCCAGGCAGTTAGGATCCGTTTATTATCTTCCCCCCTGCCCCCCCAACCCAAACTGCAGCCTGACTAAAACAGCAAAAACAGCACTGTCAGGCTGACCTCACCCCCAGCCAGAGTTCTGTCTGTCCGTATGGCTCTGCCCGTGCGCGGCACCTCAAGCAGACGGCGCTTGTTCTGCCCACTTTGTTGGCAGCCTTTCCTGGAGCGAGGCTCCCCTGAGAACATTTCAGAAGGTGGATGCACTGCGGGGCTCCTTGGGAGCTCCTGAAAGCATCCATCTTTCACACGAGCTCCGTATGCAGCCTTCTGGGTGACTCCCTGAACAGACTGACATCAGAATGACCGTGGAACACCGAATTGATGAAACACTTCTAAACTCAACTGGCGCCATCCTAACCTGTTTAAACGGGGCTTTCTCTGATGTAATTAGAAGCAAACAAGTCCCACAGAGAGAGAGGTCGCTGCATTGACAATTTTCACAGCTACAAGTTGGGAGAGCAGGACGTGGTCACATCCCAGCCGCATACTTCACCCCTGGTTAACAAGAGTAGGAGAAAAAATGGATTTATTCTATCACTCAGTGATAGCTGTCACCAAAGCTGCTGGGAGACAGAACTCCTTCCTAGGCTTCTTCTTTTCTGTTCTCCAGAATCACTCCACGAGCTCCTGTCAAAAGCGAGGACTGAGCTGAATACTAGAGAGAGAAAAATAGAAGAATAAAAAGTTGCATTCCACATTAGGCACTGGGCACCGCTCAGTATAAGTTGCAGATAATGGGTTTATAATTTTGCCAGTTTTTGACAGCATACATTACTGTTCTGTTTAGTTTTGCTTCAGGCTGACTGAGCTGCTACCAAACAAGAATCAGATTTGGGCAGGCAGTCAGACGCTATGCAGGTCTCCCAAAAGCATGGAGGAATGTGTATTTCGAGTAAACAAAAGCAAAACCAAAACCTGCTGTCTTCTGATGTGGCCTTGGTTCAGCTCCAGGTGTTTTTGGGGCTGCTTGCTTTTAGTGCTCACAAGAGCCGTGCTGCCTGGCTGCAGGGAGTGAGAGCTCCTGACCACCTGCCAGAAAAACCTTCTGCTTGGCACTGCCTTTGTCAGTCCCCCAGAAGTAAGGCTACGGTTTTCAAAATGTGGAAGGTTGTATCTGGCACAGCTCCTGTTTAACAAAATACAAAATACAGCAAAATACAGCATAGCCTTCCCTGCTTAACAGCTGCAAGAGCACTGAACGTGCTGTCTGCGTTCTCCCAGCTGCTGAGCCTTCCCCTTGATTTCCACTTTGCATTACTGTGTTCAAAATTACCCCACAGAAGGCTGCATCTCCTTTTCATTTGCACAAAATCTGGATGTCATTTATAGCACAAAGTTTCTGATGGTACTGACTGACCTCTGTACCAGTACAGGTCTTGGCTTAGCAAGTGTTAGGGTGAGTTCTCTAAACCATGTTTCCTACATGTGCTTTTTCTTACACAAGAGAACAGGAATGTCAAGAAAGAAAACAACAGAATTCTTTCTCTGATATTTACACAGCCGTGCGTGGACCCACTGAGCAGCACACAGGGTCGTGGCTGTGGCAGGCAGCCCTGCAGTGAGCCTTGCTGCAGGCGCCATCTCAGCATCCTTTCTCCTCTGTCCTTTCCCTTGCTGTGCCTGACAGTCAGATCACGGGTTTCTGGCACACTAACAGAGATGCTAAGGCTTAAGAAAGGACCCATCAGCAGAAGCTCCAGAATTTTTTTTGTTTTGGCCTGGGAGCAGTTGAAGGATGGCACAAGAGGTTAGCCCAGCTGATAGCCAAGCAACAGCAAATGGGTTACAGAGCAGAACTGAAGAAACCTGACCACCTGTGCCTCTGACCATCTTGTGGGAATGTCAGGCCATTTCAGGCATATGCTGAGTGTTGTCTAGGCAGTACATGAGGAAAGAGTCAGGACATGTTGGAAAAATAAATCAACTGGGATGAGGAATAAAAATCTGAAACTGAAGTTTTTTATGGCTCATCTATTCTTATGAGTTGGGCATCCCTGCAGCACAGCAACCCATCTTTCCTCTGGGAAATGTGCTTATAGGTAAACTGGATCCAACTCAGAAAAAATGATTTAGCTTGCAAGCATTACATGATGAAACATCTGTATGTAGAACCTGAATTTATACTGATATGAATGTCGTAGTATGTTAGCTACCAGTGATGTGAAGTGGGTATCTTCAGTTAACTACGACTGCTCCAGATACTATCTGTAACATTAGAAATAAATTACAGAGATACTGAAAACCTGTGGCATATGGGGTCTTATTGTAGACCCTTTCTTTTCTTGTCTTTTTAGGCCCTTGACATAGTGGGGAAGTCAGTTCGCACCACTATACAGGCTTATTACTCACCCTTCATAAAACTTTTAGTTATACTTGTCCAGAACTATCAGGTGTAAGAAAATAACGTGCATGTTGGTGAAACAGCATCTGCTGTATTAGTGACAAATGCGACAAAAGTGGTGCAGCATTACAAGTCAGAAAATAGCCATTATCTCTCTAGCAAAGCATAAACAGCATATTTTACCTACTTAAGCCTCTCCTTCCTCGAGATTAGTCTGTTTGAGAAAAGAGGCAAGGTTGACCTTGGAGCCAGATAACAATTCTAGACAGAAACTGCTTTTTCTTTTTTCCCCGTCTTAGCTGTTAATAGAGCGGTAAGAAAAGTTGTTCCTTAAAGAATCACAACCTGATCACAAATACACCGGTCATGAGATGCTTGTTGGCGGAGAAGTGGAGAAACAAAATAATAGCCACCAGTTTAATACATCTTGGGCTATATTTATGTAGAAAATGTAATGCTAATATAAAAAAATCTTTATTACCACACACCTTGAGCAAAATGATGTCATGTTTAAAAGATGGTTCAGTAATGTGATATGTCTTCAGAAGTGCCTGATGCCCCATCCCTGGAGGTGTTTAAGGCCAGGCTAGGTGGGACCTTGGGCAATTTGATCTAGTACTTGATCTAGTGCCTGGTAACCCTGTCTGCAGCAGGGGGGTTGGAACTTGATGATCCTTGAGGTCCCTTCCAACCCAGGCTGTTCTGCGATTCATTTTATGAAATACTCTTTTTTTCAGTTCAGTAAAATACCTTATGTATGTACATTGCTTGTCTGCCACATAAGGACAAGATGCAGCACTCAGCATTAAATCTACTCACTGTAGCCATTCCGTTCTATCACATTTTTGTATAGAAGTTATTTTCTATTGATGACCAGACTAGGAATTCAGAAAGGATCTGAGTAAATTGTGTGCTGTGTTGAAGCAATCAGATAGCTAACTTTGCTGATGGCAGGACAAGGCACTTAAAACAAGGTCTGTTTGCATTGATGCTAATAGGGACAAGCACGTAGAGCAGACCTGCTGCAGCTTCTCAGCCGTCCCTCACTAGGCCTTGAGCTTTACACTCTACATGGACAGCAAGCTTGCTCTCTATCATCACACAAACACTTCAGTGTAATAAACCAAGGCTGGGATTTTTCGGAGGTGCTGTTGTTGCTGGAAATCTGTGTTTGGCCAGTGGACAAGTCCAGGCAATTACCCACTGCTTGTCGGAACAAGTTAGTTGTCATGGGAAAAAGCAGCCTCACGGAGCTGCTCTGCTGCTGCCCATCTTCACACATCATTTGCAGCATTCTTGTTCCTTAACAAACCTTTTCTCTCTTCAGAGATAATTCTGAAGTGTCACTGTGGGCAAATAAACCTGACAATAAGAAAAAGGAGACAGACTGATAACCAATCAGTCCTGATTGAAGCGTGGCCACTAATGAGCATCCACCCCAATAACATGCTCCTGAATAGCCTCATGTTCAAAATTAGAGTGAGAGGGGACAGGAACGTAGCTCACACTGCTCATTTCTCTAGGGAAGTAATATTTCCTCCTAGTTTCCTAAATATCAGCAAAAAAAAAAAAAAGTGGCCAAAGTGAGCACTGCTAATCAAATCATCACCCAAAGGCACGGTTGCGTTTTAGCCCGGCACGACACTGTTATCTCCGTGAAAGCACCAGCGCTGTTAGCAGGACCCTCTGCCTTTATTAAGACGGAAAAGGCGGCAGAGCGAAGCCTTCCACAACAGCCCCTTCCCTCAGCGCCGCTCCTGCCGCCCCGCGACCCCGGCGCCCCGACAGCCCCGCTCCTGAGGCACCGCCTGAGGGCTGCGCGCGACGCGGCCGTTGCCCCGCGGCCGTTAGGGGGCGCTGGAGGGGGGGGGCCGCGCGGCCAAGATGGCGGTGTGGGGCGCGGAGCTCGCTGCGGCCTCGTAAGGCCCGTGTTCCTCCGGGCCGGGCGGCCAAGCGGGCGCGGCTGGCGGTGCGTGGGGGCTCGGTTAGCTAGCCGCGGGAGCCGGGACGCCGTTGGGGCGGCCGCCTCAGGGCGGGACGGAGGGGGGCGGGCAGGGAAGGTCGGAGCGCGGCCTAGGCGAGCGGCGCGGCTTCCGCCCGCAGGCGTCGGAGAGCGGGGCCGGTGAGGGGCGGCCTTCTGCTGCGCCGTGCCGTGAGTCAGCGGCGCTCCACCGCCCCGCGGTGACTCGGCAGCGCCGCGCCGGGTCATGCTCGGACATGTCGGGCCGCGGCGGCCGTAGCCAAGCCCCGACTTGCCTCCTGGCAGCGCTATATAAGGGCGGCCCGGCCCGCATGGCCCGGCTGTCCCGAGCCCGGGGCGCAGCGCTGTGCGGTCGTGACGTATCGTGACGTGACGCCGCGTCTGTTGTCCCCTCGACTGCAGGCAAACGTGCAATACCGAGATGACCTCCCTGACGGACGGCTCTCCTGTCAGCGCCTTGGAACAGGAGGCTCTGGTCAGTGCTCGCGGGCGGCGGTGCGGGGACACGGGCGCCTTTCGGTCCCGTCTGTGAGAGCGGGGCAGAGCGGAGCAGAACCGAACCGCCCGCGTGTGGGGGGCCGGGGAGCCGAGCGCTGTTTCCCGGAGCTCTGTGGCGGGCAGGCTGCTTGCTTGGGAGGATTGGGTGAGCTGAGTACGAGTTTCCTGGCGAAGCGTTTCGAAGCGGGTAATGAGCTCTGGATGATGGATGTCGTTCGGGGTGTGGGAAAGCCATCGAGGCGCAACTGAGGGTTTTAAATTTGGCGTTTTCGCTTTCGGTTACGCCGGGCTTTTTAAGGAAGCGTTAGTCCGAGCCCCCAGCAATGCGCGGCGCCGCCCAGGCGGGCTGCAGCGGGGTGATGCCGGCTGTGCGCTCCCCACGTGGGGGGCTTCTCTCCTCTGCTTATATAGCAGGCTCTTATATGGATCCAGAGGCGTTTACACTCCCGCATGTTTTCTTTCCTCTCCCCATAAGTTAGTGTGGGCTTCCTCTGTGAAGCTGCTGTGTCCTGCGTGCTCCAAGGAGCTGAAGCTTTTAGAATGGGAGTGAGTAGGCACACGGTGTTGTCTGCCGGCTTTTCTATGCATGATTCTTGCAGCTGATCACTTGCTAACGCACTAATGCTTGATGTTAATTGTAGCAAATGTTTGAAGTGGAATATAGGGAAGCTTCCCTTCTTCCTTTAAAGATTTATTCCTTGTCTCATGTTTTATTGGGGGAATATTTTTGGATAACTAAAATTAGCCTGGACACAGAATCGTGCTGTTGTTAAAGTGGCAGTGCTGTTAAAGTGGGAGCGCCGAGGGACTTCCAGCCGTTTTCATGCAGGCACCGTGCTTGCAATTGTGGCTGCCCTGCAGCTGGTTCTCATCCCCTACATTGTGCTGGCACAGCTGTTTGGAGGACAGTACAGTGAATGGGATCAGCCAGAGGGAAAAAGGGGAGGGGGAAGAATTACTTGGGAGATTTTTCTCCCTTTGCTCCAGGAATTGTTCACAGATTGGCTGTGGAGAGAATGCCGGCCCAGCCTGTGGGAGGGTATTGTGGGTGTAGGAGTGACTGAAATCCTACAGTGGGAAGGACGAGGTCTGTCTGCCTGTCCCAAGTGATGAGATTCAGGGGCAGAGCTGGCTGCCACGGGTGAAACCACAGCCTCATACAGTGTCACGGGAACCTGATCTTTGCTTTGTCTCTTGCACTCTGGACCTCAGAATCATAGAGGTCTTAAGTTTAACTTTGCAGAGCCAAAACCTTGGATAGGTTATCCGGTGTGTCTTTTATGTCAGGTTAATGTAGAAGAGGGAAACCAATCTGTGTTTATCTGTAGAGCTGTTCAGGGCATAATTGCTGCATGCTGTTCTGTTTTCATCTCCATACAGGTTAAACCAAAGCCACTGTTGTTGAAGCTGTTGAAGTTAGCTGGTGCAGAAAAAGACACTTTTACTATGAAGGAGGTGAGAACTTTTAATTAATAAAGGTAGATTGCAGTAAATACAGGGAGATTGTTTTTCTGGTTTGACTGATGGGGAGGCAGTGAGGTTCACAAACAGTGTTGAAACAAGGTATTGGCTTGAATTTTCCTGCTCAGTTGGTAGGCAGTGTTTCTCAAGTTTCTCAACGTCTACAAAAATTTCTGGCTGCCCTTAGAATAACAGACTTCTTAGGGAACAATAGGTGAAAATGGCAGCTCTGGTGGAGTTTTGGGTGATCAGAGTAAGGGGAGCAAATCACAGTTTAATGTGTTATCTTGTATTTGATCTTCAAAGAGCAAAGCCTCTGTATATGATAATGTCTGTGGTTTGTTTTACAGGTAATATTCTATCTTGGACAATATATTATGTCTAAACAGTTATACGATGAAAAAGAGCAGCATATTGTGCACTGTGCAAATGATCTTCTTGGGGATTTATTTGGAGTGACGAGCTTTTCAGTAAAAGAGCACAGGTAAAATGGAATTCCTTTCTGAGAATCTGGTTGTGAAATAATGGAGACCGCAATTTGTAGGGCCTTGTATTAATTCTTTATAGCTTGACAAATGGTAAGCTCTCCTTCCTAATTTGTCACTTGATGTGGTCTTTTTCTCTGAACTAACCTTTGTGTCTGTAATGAAGAAATCCCAAACGTTGCACACATTCACAAGTGTTGCAGTAGCCTCAGGCAGACCATCCCAAGGTGAAAGAGAGTTCTCTTCTGTAATGTAACAGCTGCAAGGGGATTGCAGAAACATTTAAGACCAGACTGCTGGCCTGATTTATGTGAGAAGCAGCGTAGGCTTTGGAAGTCAACAGCAGAGAACAGCAGTATGTAATCACAGTGTGTTCTCTTAGCCACTGATCAAGCCTGCGGTACTTTAACATTTCTTTTGAGTAAATTGCTTGTCTTGCCAGACTGTACAGATTATCAGAAGTCCCATCCAAAAAGCACTGATTCAGAATTCCTCTCGTTAGAAATAAATGTTGATTTGTTAGGGGCTCTTTGTGGAAAGGATTGTGACTTTTCTGCTCTCTGAGTGCATTTAGAAGCTAATGCTCTTTCGACTGTACTGAGATGGATAAAAACTCTTTCCTTTGAGTGAAACATTGCTGGAAGTGCTTCAGCACTTCACAATAACTGTTTTCTACACTTGTCATAGGAATTGCCTTGCTTTTTTGGGCAATTTCCAATTATCACAGTTGGGGGGAAAAAAAAAAAAAAGGAAGAACTTTTCAGCAACGTGTGGAATGTGTGTATGAATAAGTAAAGCTGAAGTAGCTAACCTGCATCATCTTTCTTTATCCCCATCTAAGGAGAATATATTCCATGATTTCCAGAAATCTGATAGCAATCAATCAACAAGGTAAGCTAGTTTGGGAGAGCCTTCTGTTTGGGAAATAGCAGGAGAGAAAATGTAACTCATGTCAGTGCATCTTTTGTCTGGTAATCAGATGGCATCTGCCTCTCCATAATTAGCTGCTGGGCCTTATGCACTGGTGGCTGCAGTGCTCACAGATGAAGGCAAATTAAAGCAAACAGTATTCCTTTGGGGGATTGGGAAGGTTTTATACTGCATTTGGATAATGTTGTGGGATTTGAACCAGATGAAGCACAAACAGGACTCGATTAAAAAGCTGCTTGCATTTCTTATGGCTAAAACTTTGTGGTGTTAAAGGTTTAATTCCAGAAATGAGTTTTGTGAGCTTGTGCCAACAGTGAAGTCAGAACAAATGCTTTCTGTTCTGTTAGTGTTCAGTTTTCATTTCCAAAATGGAGTGACGTACATTTAGAAGATAACACTGTCAACACTGAGTCCTCTGTGGTTTTTGTTTCTGTTTTTTTTTTTTTTTTTAAGGAAAAAAGCATACTTAAAACATTCATAACTTTTCTGCAGCATAAAATACGTTAGCTGTAATTTCTGGCTAATATAAGTAGTGTAGCAGAAGTTAAATAGTGGAAGCTGTTTTGTGAATGGGCTTCTAAATCCATACTACAGCACTCATCCTTATGATAGCAAACTTAAATTTAGACAATTTTTCTTTGGAGATAATTGATTAATTCATAGTCTACCTGGTCATAAGGATCCATAATTAACAACAGTCTATGTTTCTTCTGTCGAATGTCATTTAATTCAGTGTTCATGTGAGATGATAGCTAGTAAAACATACTTCATAGGAATGTAAAAATATTCTGTACGTATATTCTTTCATCTGCAGAATTGCAGCTAAGGTACATTCATTGAAGGGAATTAATAACCAAATTCAGTGCTGCTTTACTGCTTTGTTTTCAGACTCTACACTGGCTGTTCCACCTGAGGACGATGCCAGATTTCGGCTTGAAAAAGAAACTGTTCTAAAGGTAACCTTTAATATTATCTTTCATGTTCTGAGATGTAAGTTGTTTCATTTCTGTATTGTCAATTGTTTGGATGCAGTTAGAGTAATTGTGACCCTCGCCTCATATTCCTGTGTGGGCTTATTCTGTATTTCTGTTAATCAGGAGTCCATGCAAGAGTTAGAAGAGAAGCAGACTTCATCGAATGCAACTTCGCAGCCAACAACATCTTCTAGGAGGAGAACACACAGTGAATCTGGTACGTGCGGATTCGTGATGCAGAGCTTTGAGTGTCATGACAAGGACATCCTGTTGCCTTATTGGCCTTGAGAGATGCCAACAGTGTTTCTCTGTCTGAACCAGAGCGTTCAGTCTGGAAGAGATACGCAATTCCTTGCACTGCTCCAGTATCACATTACAGTTTGGATTACTAGGAGGTGTTAGCGAGGTAGAAGAATTTGCCTTGTGGTCTACCCAAATTATTGACATCAGCAGGACTTAGTCAGTTGTGCTGTCTTCATAATGAGGACACTTCTGTTTCTATTAATGCAGTCAAGTGCATTCCATGTCCCTTTGTAGACAGCTGCAACACTTCACATTCTCTTTGCTCTTAAAGCAGCTCTCATTGGATTTCAGTTGGTAATGAATGCAGTTGGATGTGTTTAGGTACCTGACCATTCCTTAAGCATTTCATGACAGTCTGCCCACATAAGCATCGTATTTGTCTCCAGTTCTTTACTGTAGTTAATTATGATTAGTAAATACATCTGCAGACCATGGAGTGTTTCTTCTGATAATTAGTAAATAAGAAGTTGGTCAGCAAAAACCTGTGTAACTTCAAATTGCTCCATGGAGATGTTCTGTGCAGTTGAACTTAAGTGCCACCCTTTGGGATTCCTTACACGACTTTGTTTCATCACTTCCATTACATTGTGAGTTGACACTTGAACTAACTGGGCAGTGATAACCTCCTGTCATTGCATAGGTGGTTTTTTTTCTTCAATTGCTTGGGAACATTTTAAAGTTCCTTAGTTTTTGTGTAGTGTTTCTTTTTTTTTTTTTTTTTTTTTTTTTGTGTGTGTGTGTGTGTCTTCAGCATAGACTTCTGTATCATTGGTCCAAGAACTGTGCTGCTTTGATAAGCGGTTTGCACTAAATTAAAAGAACATTTTAATGTTGCAACAAAATCTGATGGAGGGATGGAAAGTCACAGTTAATCATCATCACCTGTAATATTTAGGCATGACCCAGAGCACGTAAGGTCCTGTGTTGTGCTTACTTATTGTAGGTTTGATTATTAACTCTTGCCTTTGCATCCGTTTATTAGTTTGTTACAACCTTAAAAGTTCTTTTAATATAGTGTTTTTATATACACTTTTTTTCTAATTTATAGGAAATCTTCCTTTTAAACCACTGTTATTGTTAAATTGTGATGGTAGCGGCTCCCTTGGAGCCGCTTTCATAGTGTATAGCAAACTTGTGGTGGTACAGTATCAGTACAGCATGGAGCCATGGCAACTAAATGAGGACAACGATGGAGAGGAGCAACCCTTGGGCCTGGGGGCACCAAATTTGGTGGGGCTCTCAGGGCGGAAAAAGAAAAGGGGCTGAGCCAAGAAGCACCAAGGGAAAGTAAGAGAAGTCTCAAAGTATGTACAAGTGTTTTGTTCTCTTTTCTTTTACAATGAAAGATTCAAGACTTGGACACTTGTGGATTTTTTGGTGTGTTTCGCAGGGCCAGGTTGAAGTTGGACAATAGAGGGGCGCACAGAGGGCGTCTGTAGGGGACAGCAGGTTCTTAATGAGGTCTGCTGAACCAAGTTGTCAGCCCTCTTGGGGAACTTTCACTCCACTGTGCATATATACTGACTTTGTAATGCTTTCTTACACATTTTTTTGTTATCAAACATTCTAAAAGTCAGTGGAGCTGAATTTTGACTTGCCTGCCCCATAAATGCTGTCTCCCTACTGCTTATGCTGCTGTTGGTTGATGTATCAAAACGTGTTGTATGTAAAAAAGCATTGCTTTTTGGCTTTCAGACTAAGCATATTTAATAAGTACAATTTGAAGTATTTTCATGCTTCAGTTTTTATATAGTATGTTAGCCTTGAAGATTTTCTTGTTTGTGTGTTGTCCAACTCATTTGCATAATGATGTATTTGAAGAATTCAGAGTAAATAGAACTGCATTTAGTGCTGATACTAACTGTCAAATTTCTTGAGGTGTCTGAAACTTGAACCCAAATTGGCCTAGCACGAGGTCCTCTTCACACATTTGATCTGGGAGCAAGTTACTCATCTCCCTCCAAATTCTGGGGTGGCCTCATAAGCCCTCTGAAAATCTCTTTCTGTCCTCTGCCTGTAGAGGGGGTTAGTGCAATTACAATCCTATCTGTGTTGGTTAAAGTTAATAGTCTTATTATGAGTGTTGTGTGTGAAAAGAGGTAAAAATGCTTCCAGGTGTGCAGTTATTTTGTTTCTTACGTGTGGAGGCTGCCACTTGAAAGCTATACTGATGGCACAAAGAGGGAAAGCCAGCCCGTGAATTGCTGGTTTCAGGAACGTTTCACCTTTCATGGTGTTACTGTGTTGTCTTAAGTTAATTTCTGGTGCCTTTACTTAGTTCTGGATGATTTTAGTTTTCTCAAATTTCTTCTTACGTAAATTGTATTTGAAGCTGCTGTTTAAAAAAAATAAACAAAACAAACCTGCACACTGCATAGATGTTTTGGAGTAATAAAGATTCTTGAATGTGCCCAGAAGAAAATTCTTCAGATGATCTGCATAGTGACAGAAGAAAACGTCATAAGTCAGACAGCATCTCGTTGACCTTTGATGAAAGTCTCTCATGGTGTGTAGTCAGCGGGCTGTGCCGGGACAGAAGCAACAGCAGTGATTCCACAGACTCTGTTTCCATTCCTGTAAGTCAAAATACGTACTTGATTTTATTTCATTTGGTGGTACAGTTTGTAGTTACTGCAAGTGCAGATAAGCATCACTTCTGTAATTAATTTGTCTGAGTCTGAGGAAAGAGAAGTTAGGAGATGGGTGGATGGAATGGGATCCTTAATATGTTTGTTGACAAGGCTGGAGTGAGCATTTTTAAAATACCAACATTCATCTGAATATTCATTAAAAACTAGGCAAATTCTTACTACTTGGCACAGTATGGGAGAAATGTCAGGTACCTTTTGTTTTAAAATGAGCATTAGAGTGATGAAAGAAGAAAAGTAGTCACTGTATGTAATTCTTCATAGCTGTAGGCTGCTGGTAATTCCACTACAGCTTTGCTGCTGAAGACCTAAGCTGGTAGTGTTCTTAGTCATATGCTGGATTCTGAATTACTGAGCGCAGACTGTATACTAATGCTTTATTTTGCTGATGAAAAATAGAGAATTTAATGAACGTGCCAAAAGACAGCATGTGTTCTACACTTGTTAGGAGAGCCTTTGTGGAATAATAGTAGCAGTCTCCATGGTGGCCATGGGCTGACTGCTTCCTCTATTCCAGAGGCCACAGAAAGCTTTCAGCTAGCTTTGTTTAGCCAGCTGTAATCTGTTTGTCTCCTAAGTGCTGTTCCATCTAACAGCAGCTGTTCTCATGTCTTCCATAGCTACTACATTGTTCTATGTTTTATTATTTTCTCATCTTAACAGTGATGGTTATGGATGTGGTCTAGTGAGATTGAATGTTTTTCTTTCGTTTCATTCAGGATCTTGATGCCAGTTCGCTAAGTGAAAACTCTGATTGGTTTGACCACGGTTCTGTTTCAGACCAGTTTAGTGTAGAGTTTGAAGTTGAATCTATTTATTCAGAAGACTATAGCCATAATGAAGAAGGACAGGAGCTCACAGATGAAGATGATGAGGTACTTTAAATTTCCTTCCCTCAGCTCTAAAAAAAAAAAAAAAAAACCACTAAATGTTGAGATTCCAACAAGAAGCAACAGTAATTCTTCAGGTGTGCTACCTGACAAATTGCATCCACATGTTTGATTCCAACTCACTAGTTGGGGTTGAGACTGTTCTTATGTAATTAATTCTAGAGGCATTCATTTGGAGCTGTTGGACTTTTGACAGCGCTTCATAGTGAATGGAAACTTTCCTCGTAATGGTTTGCTAAAGAATTCTTGCTTCAGTGAATACATACATTTCATAGAGGCATGCTTAAATAAAGTTTTAGAAATTTTCTTTAGGAGGCTTGAAGGCAGTGCTATAGGTGTTGTCATCATTTTTGAGAGATCTGGATACCTGGACTGTCAGGAGGGAAGCAGGAAAATATTTTTTTTTCCTGTGTTTGTTTTCTTGTACTTAAGAGCTGAATTGGCTCGTGGCAAGATCAGGTAAGTACCAAAGGCAGAATCAGACAGGGGCATACATAAGCATGATTCCTGGGAGAGAAGGAATGGGACTGGCTGTAGTGATTTACAGTGAGTTAGAGTGCTGTGGAGAGAAAAAACTGGTTTGCTTTGGAGGAGGAAAGGACTGAGGTGGTCCCTGCTTCCAAGAGCAGTCAGTAGTGACCGTTACAGGAAGCTGGTGGTTGGAAGGAGCCTCTATAGATCACCCTGTCCAATCCTCCTGTTCAGGCAGAGCCACTCTAGAGCTGCTTGCCCACACTGCTTTTAAGACCTCCAAGGAGAAGACTCCGTAGCCTTTCTGGGCAGCCAGTGTCTGTGTTCAGTCAGTCACCTGTGCTCCAGTTGGTGCCCATGGCTGGGCAAAAAAAAAAACAAAACAAGCCAAAACAACTTGGTTTAGTCATCTTCATGTCTTCCCTTCAGATATTTTTATACATGAATGAGTCTGTCCCCACCCTGGGCCCCTTTTACACCAGGATGAGCTGCCCCAGCTCCATGTTTCTCTTGTACTGGAGCCCAGAGTGGATATAGTACTCCAGGTGTGACCCTACCAGCATTGAGTAGAACCACTTCTTTAGGGGTGGTTCTTCCTGTCTGGATGCTCTACATTTTTCTTCATTCCTAATGTGAAAGATTCTTCCTCATCCCCAAACTAGTCATCAAATTTTGTGGAAGTACTTTATAATTGAGAGTATGTGCATCGTTTCTTGTTACTGCATTTTATTAAAAGTAGTCTATCAGAAACCAGATTTTTAGTTGAATACTGTCAGTTACATCAGTGCTTTTGTATTTTTAATAGGTGTATCAGCTGACTATTTATCAAGATGAAGATAGTGATTCTGATTCATTCAATGAAGATCCAGAGATTTCTCTAGCTGTGAGTAAAATCTTGACTGGCAAAGCATCATCAGTTGGGTGAAGTAACAGTAGGTGGAGGCATGTAGATGAATCCAAAACATGGATGTTGTGAAAAATGTTTTTAGTAAGTTTCCTGGTGCATTAAGAAAAACACTAATTTGCAGTTTCAGTGTCTTAGAGGGGGGAAATTATTTTTGAGCCTAGATCTGCCTTATACAAAATGGAAAAACAAAACAAAGAAAGGGGAAAAAAAATCATGAAGTCACAATATATTATAAAAATGCTGTTCCTTTAAGTCATAATGTCTAGTTTTATTGTCCAGCCTGAGAGCCAATCCGTAGCACGGAGATGTGAGTGCACACCTGTTTGCAGAACAGTACTGTAAGCTGATTAGATGGCTTTTAAGTTTTGTCAGAAGGTTCCTGTAGTGGGGGAGGAAGTTCAGGATTTTGGAGCAAAATGTACAGGCACGAAAAAAATACCTGCTGTAATTTAAAAGCATCTTCATTTGTTGCTCTTCATAGTTGAAGTTTGAAGAATGCTGTTTTGAAGAATTACCTGAAATGTTTGTTCTTTGATGGTCTGTAGACAGGGGGGCCTAGCTAGCCCTGTGTTTTACAGATAGCAGTCTGAAAATGTAGCACTGCTTGTGTGTGGAAGAATACCTGTACTCCATTTTTAGGGATTAGGCTCTTAAGCTTTTGATGTTGCTGATGCTATTCAGAGGTCAAAGCAGAGAGCATTTCAGGTGTTCCAAATGAGAAGTTTTTTAATTTTTTTCCCCTTCTGCGTGTTGATTCTAAGGAGGTGTTTGCCCTTACAAGCAGGGAGTGTCTTTAGTGAGGTGGTGGCTTATTTTTGGAATGGTGTGGAGGAAGCTCTGAGATGCAGTGATGCAACTCTTCTTTAATGGCTGGTGTTTGGTGCCGGACACAGCGACGCCCGGCTGTGTCAGAGTGCCCTCATCTGGCCGCTCTGCACACCAGCAGCTCAGCATCCCAGCTCAGCGTCCCTTCAGTCTCCACTGTTTTCCAGTTGCTGAAACTCATGGGGTCAACGGCCATTTTGCCAGAAAGAGGTTTCTCAAATTTTGGCTAAGAAATAGTAAGCCAGTGTTATTATGCTTCTATTTTGTAAATCTACTGTAAGAGGGAAGAAAATAGGAAGTCGTGTAACAGTGAGGCTATTTTAATCCAGGACCAAAAAGCAGAGTTGAACACTGACTGGAATTCTTGTACAAAATTGTTGATAGCTCCAAACTGCTGTTATTTTAGCAGTAATGAATTCTTAATGATCTCTGAATACTTCAGTAATGAGCATTCTAAGTGGCTAAAGCTGTTTCATCCTTTAATTTACTAAAGGACTACTGGAAGTGCCCTGAATGCAGTGAAATGAATCCTCCGCTTCCACGCCATTGCCACAGATGTTGGGCCCTCCGTGAGGACTGGCTTCCTGATGCAAAGAGCGATAAACTGGTGAAGAGCAAATCAGAAGGCTCTTTCCACCTGGAATCTGACGAAGGTTTTGATGTTCCTGACTGTAAGAAAGTGAAAACGGATGAAGATAAAGAACCAGCTGTGGAGGAGAATGAAGATAAAGCAGTACAGATATCTGAGTCCCAGGAAAGTGAAGATTATTCTCAGCCATCTACATCTAGCAGCGCGTTTTGCAGCAGCCAGGAGGACTTCAAGGAACCTGAGAAGAAAGAAATGAAAGACAAAGAGGAAGGTACGGAGACCAGTCTGCCTGTTAGCAGCATAGAGCCCTGTGTCATATGCCAAAGCAGGCCAAAAAATGGCTGCATAGTACATGGCAAAACAGGACATCTCATGTCGTGTTTTACGTGTGCAAGAAAACTGAAGAAGAGGAACAAGCCCTGCCCAGTGTGCAGGCAGCCCATCCAAATGATTGTACTAACTTATTTTGGCTAAGGTGATGGAAAGCAACAAAAGGAGCTCATAAACTGGTACAGCAAATAAGAGAGTAAGAAATTATTTTTATATGCTTATTGCAGATGACTATTTTGGGTGTCTTTATGTTTGTTATGAAAAGTCATTGCTGAAGTAAATGCACTGGAGTTGTAAAGTTTAGCCTGATATTTGCTAGTTAATTTAACCTTGAACATTTTATATCCCTCTCAGTAGAAGTAACCAATTCCTGTTGGTCAGTGTTTGACTTTCCAGGTGTTTTACTGTGCATAAAAGTCAGTAACGTTTCAATTATGATATTGACTACAAATATTGCAAGCCCCTGTTCAGCGATGATCAGAAGAGGGACGTTTTGAAGAGTTCATTTAAAATCAGTTAAGAAGAAAGAAGATTACATTCCACAATCTGTTGCCTAGCGAAAGCACCAGGCAGAATCAGAACCATCTGAGTAAGTCAATAAAAGAACAAAATAGAGCCTTGTTTCCCCTCACTCCCGAAAAATTAAATCGCTTTGAGAAGGAGATTTTTTGGATGCTTGTTGGGAAACCAGGGAAGCTGTGGTAGAAAGTAACATTCAAGGTTTTGGGAATTGAAGAGGGTACGGTGTGTTTTGTTTCTGTAGTGTACTTTGTGAACTTCAGGGCTGTCTGAGTGCTCTGTGAGAAGTCACTGAGAGTTACAGTCTTACGGTTACCTCTTAAATGTCCTGAGAAAGAGACTTTGGACACATGGTGTGGATGTGGTGGTCTGTACTGTCCTCGTCATTTTAGCAAAGTGTGCAAGATGTGAACAGGAAAGAAAAAGTGAGGAACTTAGCTAAAAAGTAAGGCAAAGCACCAACAATAGGGGATGTTTATAGCTTGGTTTTTTTTTTTTCCTGCACTTGATTAAAAATAGTAAGAAAAAAAGTCCACCTCCACCTGCAGAGAGAGAGAAAGCTCTGTCATTCTACTTTGCTCAGATTGTTAAGTTCAGCAGCCTTTCTAACTTTTGCCATTGTCTTTTTTTGTGTATCACAAGAATTTTGAAAACCTGCTGCAAAGTTTTTGGCCAGATAAGAGTTTGTCTCAGTTGGATCCGTCCTTCTTTTAGCTCTTGTGCCCTCAGTGTACTTCCACAAAACCCTCGTGAAATTTATCAGTTTCTTTATGAAGAAGTCTGCTAATTGACTTTGGTCTGTGATGCATTCAAAGGAGATAACATGAGTGCATCTCTGTAAGCTGAAGTGTCTAAAAATGTAGTTAGATTTCTCATCTGATCTGATCTTCAGATGCAGAATTCCTGCACAAGTGGCTTCTGTCTCTTCCTGTGGATGACCCTAAGAGGATTTGGGTGTTCTCAGCTTGTTAATCTGACAGGTAGTTAAAGTTCAGCTGTCCTGCAGGGGCCTACAAATACTCTTGGAGTCAGGAGAGCTCCAAGAATGGAGATGAGATCTAAATGCAGAAGTTGTGCTGTGTTTTACCATCTCACAACCTTCAGAGAAGTGGCTTCCTTACCTTCGTGGTGCCAGTCCAAAACTGCCTCTGTGCACAAAGGCCTGTGGTGTTAAAATTTCTTCCACATCAAAAACCTGAAATATTTATTCCACTATAAGTGCCTGGAAACCAGGACTGGAAGCACCAGGAATACAGGGAAGTGCCTGCTAATTTTCCTAGTTACTTCCTTGTGGGAAATAAAAAGTGTACAGCAGAAACTTGGTAAACACGTGTGACTGCAAAGAAATTCCCAAATTACCTGAGTCAGTGATGTTTGTGCAGTTGAGCTGACTGCTGAAAGCTACTGCTAAAGGATAGCGGTAGCTCTGAAGCTTCACCGTTGTTCCTTTTAACTAAACAAAACAGAGAACTCAGTTGTGTGTTTCTTCAAAGAAAGAATTGCTTTACGTGCAGATCCTGACTCCATTCATACTGCTTCCTCTTCATTTCTCTGCATTTGTATTTGCTAAATTGAAGCACAGTGAAGCTTACAGAGACTGTTCAGTGCTGCTGCAGGTCAGAACTGATCAGCAGTCCGATTGGTCTGCAGTGTGCAGCTGGCAGAGAATTCCCAGCTTGTGTAGTTGGGAGAAGCACTGATGAAATGGGGAGTGCGCTTGAGAGACACTGCAGTGGACGAATAGTTCATGTCTTTTTCAGTTGGATACCTTCTCTGCAGTCACTGTGATTGCTGTAGAACCCCAGCTGTGGGAAGCAGCTGCCACTAACCCAGTTCCTGCTGGGACAAATTGTGCTGTTCTGCTCTGGGCATTCTCTTCCAGCTCCCTTGTGTGATCTCCATATTGGAGAAAAAAAAAAAAAAAAGAAATCAGCTCTTAATAATGCCTGAGTAGTCACAGCAATGATGTTGGTGTTTGCAAGCACTCAGCTTTGGGATTTTCCTTCAGAAACAGTTCCGTCTCATCTCCTATTAAACCTGCGTTGGCAGAAGGTAAAATGGGAGCATACAGCACAGCTGACTTCTCCATTTGTGATCTAAAGTTTTACTTCTTTAGCACATATTCTTTTGTGGAGAGCAGCCCTGGAAACACTCGCTGCTCCACACAGTGCTAAGGAGATTCAGGTGATTCAGGTGATTCAGGGGCCTGCGTCCTTGGCCATATTGCTCTCTCAGAGTAAATTTTTATTTTGAATTCTGTTTTCTGGCTTAATGTTATTTTTAACAGCCAGGAAGGTTTGCTGTTTGTTTGTTCTTGTCTTTTCCTTTCTTTTTTAAAAGCGTGCCTTACAAATAAGGGAGCAGAGTGGTGGGGTATTGGCATCTGTCTCATTTCCCACTGGAGCAGCTGCTGGGGACGCGCACAGTGCAGGGCAGACCAAGACCCAACTGAGAGCAACGTTGGTCACCCTGCGCTGCGCTGACCGTAAGCTGTTGGCTGCTCTCCTCTTTGTGGCAGACTTTTGCCCTTCCTTGTGTAAGGGTGCAAAAGTTGGCAACGTTGTAGCATGAAAGTGGACTCCTGTTCTTACTTGGTGAGGTCTTTGAGATTATTGAGTTATTTAATATTGTACGCATTTTAATCATTAATTTATTGCAGTTTGTAAATATTCTTGTGCTTATAGTTAGTGTTGTGAGCTTTAATTTATTGGATTGGTCTGTTGGTACCTGTACAGATAAACACATGTGCTTGCTAAGTCACAGCTACAAGAAGGACATTTAAGGAATTGTAGCATTAAAACAGAGATGCAGACTACATTCAGGTGGAGAGATGGAAGACATATGCCTTTGTTTTCATTTTTCCTTCCCTTAAAATCGTCTTGGTGTTGAAACTGTAAAATGCTTACTGAATAGAGATGAAAGCTAATGCGACATGAACACGGGGAAACTGCTTGGGTGGTGGTTTCTGTAGGAATGCTTCTGTCTCCCACTGCAGCCACACACAGCTCTGTTAACATCGGAGGGCAGGTCTGCAAGGTGGCCAGAACTGATCAGTGGGAGGCGTCGTATTGAATATCTGTGTTAGGAGTGATTGCCCTCACCCTTGGGAAGGTGACCAAGAGAGATGGGGGAACCAACAGAATAGAGAAGGGCCCAGTTCCAGTCACTGTCTCTGAGCTTCAAGTAAGCAGTAATTGGGTACAACTGCTGCAAGAACTCACCGTTGTTTGTTGTGTTGTGTTTTTTTTTTTTTTTTTAAGTGCAAGAAAATCACACTTGGATTAAAGGCTTCATTCCCTTTAACCAAGAAAGCTAAGTGTGGAGCGAAATACTCGAAGCAGCTTCTAACAGAAGTGTGGGAATGAAGCAGGTAACGGGGTTGCTGGTGGTAGCGAGTGTTTGTGCTGCAAAGGTTGGTTTTGTAGAGCAGCTCCTATGGAGCACTGTCTGTTTGTGGCACTGAGCAGTGTGATATCTGCCACGCTGAGGCTCTGGCTGTAGCTTCAGTGAGGAGGCTGATTTACAGAGGGTGAAGATGCTACAAAGGGTAACTGGTGAGGTGTTGCATTTATTTCTAACAGCCTGGTACATCTTTGTCACGGAGTTCCAATTCCCATGTGTTTGTTTAGATGTCACTCTGAAATTTCTGTATGGATGGAAGGACTTAAAGCTCTTTTTTTTCCCCTACAAGACAAACATGAGGACAAAAAGAAATTCCTCATTCTTAAAGAAAGCACAAACAAGAATAATTTTCAGTAAACTGTGATTATACAGGAGGGAGAGTAGGAAATTATTAAAGCATGAATAATGAAACAACAAAATGAGGTGAATAAATAAATGAGGATTGGGTTGAAACATTCTTTCTCATCTTAACCAGAAGTTGTGTTGTGTTTACCCCAGGCAGAGGAGATGCTTTGCTGTGCAACACAGCCTAAAGGGGAGGGCAGTTGATGCTGTGCTATGTGGCAGTAGAAAAGAGCTTTGAACACATGCACTTGTAATGACTTGCAGGGTGGCACAGCTCCTGCCTGCCTCCAGCTCTGCTCACTGCCTTTGTTACTCACAGTGCAGGCAGAGGTGCATGGGGGCTCTTGGAATATTGAAGGGTTGCGTCTCGCAGTGTTGCTTCCAACTAACGTATGCTTGCTTACCACAGGTGCACTGAAAAGGAGAACGTCTTTCTGTCGCATATATTGTATGTGTAGAAGTTGTTGTTGACACTTTAGGAAGTGTTGTCTCCTCTGTTTCACTAGATGTTGCTTTCAGGGGGCAGTTCTTGTTCTTGAGCTAAATTAGTGGCAGTCACCATCCTGATGCCATAACACCTAAAATATCAAATGGCATTTCCCAAAGCGGAGTCTTACTTTGTTGTCTGACTCTGCAGAGCTGAAATCATTATTAAATAGACAGCTGAGTGTGAGATTACAAACTATGCAATTTTGCCACTCCTGTAGGCTGCCCCCGTGACTTACTGGATGTATTTCTGTCGGTCATTCAGTGAGATACAGCTCTCTGCTCATTGCACAGAGTATAGTTACACTGACAAGAAGAATTCCCAACATGTACTACATTTGTGTTTCAAGTTTTTCCTTTTCTGGTGAAACTGAACATTTTATCTGTTTAAAAGCTTTAAATAAAGATGTTTATATCCTCCTCAGTGCTCTTTTTGTGTTTCTGATTTGATGTTTTTTAAGTGCTGCTTGATTTTTATGCATCTCTGTAACTGTAGAACAGCAGTGCAGGTTCCTGGGGTGGGTAGTACAGTCTACTCCTGCATCACGTTTTGAGGAGATGGTAGACTTCAGCACACTCCTGTTCCTCGTACCATAAGTGACAAAATCAGAAGCAAGGCTGTGCACTGGTACTCTCCTCTGACTTACAAATGCTCTGCAACTTCTAAAAGTAGACAACCCACGAGGTATGGCAAACAAGGGTACTGACAGTCTGCTGTCTTTCATACACCTATGTCAATCTGAATCTGCACTGGGGTTTCTGTAGCAGTGTGCACTTACAGCCATATTGCAGTATCTTAATGGGAGAGATAAGAGTGCAGGTTACTAACAGTGGTGTGTTTACAGTGCTGTACTTGCATCAGTGGACAGCTGTGTTCCTGCCAATCTCATTGACTGTACAGGAAAATACAGGCATCTCCAAATAGAATCTCTTGTAACTACTTGAATTGCTTAAGAAAAGGGCAGATTTAGTTTTAAAATAAACACGTGAAGTGAGACTAACGAACCTGATAAACGACGAACAGCTTCAAAGCAGCCTGGAAATTATTTGCAGCTGCTGAAGCAAAAGGAATCTGTGAGTGGTGCACGCAGTGAGCACTGTGCCACGCTGGTAGCACAGCCCTCAGTGCCTGTGCTCAAGGCTTGCTCCTGGCAGAGCTGAACCTTCCAGCTATTGCTGTATGGCATACAGGGGCCGAAGAGCAAGGGAGCAGGGCTGTGAAACGTGCTCTTAAATAAACAAACCAAATCACAGCTGATGCTGTTACTGCAACCATTCATACTGAAGCTCCAGTTTAAAAAAAAAAATAGTTCTACAATTGTAGAAGACTACTTCTGTATGTTTTTCAGAGACTGTAGGCAGAACTGTTGAAACCAGTGTTCCCTCTGAGCTCTGCCTGGTGGCACAGGCTGGCACCAAGCCTTCAGCACACAGCCTTTCGGCACATACTTCCCACTGCTTCCTCTCTGCATCCTTTCTTAGAAGGGGTGTTACTGATGTTATTTCAGTCCTGATCAGTCTCATTTGTCTAGACAGGAAAGAGCACAGTTAAAAGTGTCATTCTTCATTTATAGAAGTGGCTTTATTATGAGAAATTAGGATGGATCTAATTGCTTACACGTGCGTGGGCACACAAACTGCTGGTCCAATAGAGCACCACTGGGAAACATTTGCAGCACAATCCCAAACTGTTTTTGAACCTCTGGCAAGTTCTTTAAAGTGTGTCTGTAACACTGCAGCAAACATCCACAGCTACCATCTCCATAGGCTGTACAGTATTTCTTTGAAGTATCATTGTAGAAAAGGGACAGTCTAATTAAAGTATAACATTTGATTGTCAAGGCAGTATTTTACAAAATGCAATAAACGTGATTATAAACCAAATTCTCAGCTTTACAGAAACATTCTCTTGCATACAATCTTTGTTTCAGAAGCCATATTTGTGCAGGAGACTTTTGCCACGTCACGTAATTCCCGACTTCATTTGAAAATGGAAATTGCAACCATCACTAAAACCAAGATATGTAGAGTTGGTTTCACTGCAGCTGACGAGCGTTCGAGCTCCTGGTACAGAGGGGCTCTGGGGCACGAAGCAGGTCTCGGTTTGACAGAGACCTCTGGGAATGAGAAGTCTTGTTTCAGAGCGCTGAAGTTAGCGGTGTTGTCAGGTATGTCCACTGTCTTCAGCATCGATTTAAATCCTGGTACCGTAGCCTGGGAACAAGCACAAAAGATTTCGTGTTTTAAACACAGAGTTCCACTTTAAACTTGTTTACAGTTTCAGGGTATAGGAAAAATGTTCTAAACGTAAGTTGAGCTAAACAAGAGGAAACAACAAAAGCTGAGCTTGGAATGTTAACAGAACACTTTTTTTCTCCCCACAGTTCCCATGGCTCTGCTAATTTTGCTTTATTTGGGTCAGTGCCTCTCAGTGGATGAACCGACCATCCGACCATCTTGCTGCGTAACGATGTTCTGGGTCAGGGTGTTGCCCCCTGTAAGGCGTTGCTGTTGATGGAGACTGTTTGCCTCTGGGGGCTGAGTGAAGGACTGCTGCCATACTCCTTTTGCAGGCTGCAGTGAAGGGTGAAGGGGACAGGAAGTGGAGTGCATGGAGGAGGCTCCCAGGTGACGCTGAAGCCCAAGGAGGAATTTACCAGCTTGATGTTTGAGTGGAGGGAAGTCATTTCCCTGGGAAGTGACAGAGGAGGATTCTCACTGCAAACCAGCTGTGGGTTTTGGTTTTTTTTTTGGCTCAAAGACCACAGGAGCACCTCAGGCAGTACGGAAGAGGGAATCCTGCAATCACACTTGAGGACAGATCCTGGGCTGGCATCTGCCAGAGACTGCGTTGTACAAATGCCCTCTACTGTCTCCTGACACCACCCTCAGGGGAACAGCTGTCACCAATGGCATTGTCAGCCTGCTGCTGCCTGGGGCTATGTGGATCCCAGCCTCTGCTGCCTCAGAGCTCTAACACTTCAGGCCAGCCCCAGCACAATCCAGCAACTCAGCTGGCTCCACCATCCAGTCGGTGGAGTGATTATTTCTGGACATCCCAGGGACAGGAAATCTTACCACATCTAAACATCTTCTTACTGCTGACTCAAATTTTAAGATTATTTCAAAAGAAAAATCTGCCAGTGAGTCTTGACAACTCCTATATTTGACTCAAGCAAGTCCAGCTTACTCAAAACCCTCGCTGTGCTCAAGGATTCAAAGCACAATCAGAATAACTCAAGCAGGCAGCACACTTACGTTGATCACGTACTTCCCAGGCAAAAGGAGAAGAAAGTACTCGCCGTGCTCGTTTGTCCTGTAGGGGCAGATGTGAGGCCTCCCTTTGGCTTCCACGATTGCGTTGGGAATAGGATTCCCATTTTTATCAGTAACCTGACCTTTGACTCCTATGAAAGAGAAGGAGGAAAGATAACAGTGTGTACATGTGACAAGCCGCCCTCTCTGGCAAAGTCGGACTGTTTGCTGCTGGATGTACTTAAAGGCCACTTCAGTGATTTCAAGTACATGTAATAATATCACCAGTACTGAAATCTTACTGGAGGAAACTAAAACAAATTCCTTTCTGTTGTCATTAGTAGCTTCCTCTGACTTTAGAAAACAGCACTGTAATCACAGAATCATTGAATGGAGTGGGTTGAAAAGGACCACCATGATCATCTAGTTCCAACCCCCCAGCTATGAGCAGGGTCGCCAACCAGCAGACCAGGATGCCCAGAGCCACATCCAGCCTGGCCTTGAATGCCTCCAGGGATGGGGCATCCACAGCCTCCTTGGGCAACCTGTTCCAGTAAGCTTTGCTTCTAAACCTCATTTGCTGAAAGCACCATACATACTTGTTGGATGCATTCTCACAAACCACCCTAAAGTGTGCACCATCAATAAGCAAAACAGTTGGACGTTCATGGCAATGAAATGCGACATCGGCAACAGATTTATGCAAACCCTTTAACTCACTGCAAAATATCTCCAATTCAATAAGCAGATTTTCTCTGTTTCAGCTGTGAAGTGCAGACCCAACTTAAAAAGGCCTTAAAAATACAAAATCCAAACAGCAAAGATCCTTGAAACACTGAGTGCCTGCATGTACCCATTTAGAGACCTTTGGACTGTCCCAGGGCAGCTCCCTGAAAGGCCCATCCCTTCCTCCTGCCCAGTCACACATTCAACCCCAAGCAGCACTGTAGGAGCGCCTGCTGCCCCACACCCAGCACAGCCATAAGCTGTCCTCTCGTACCAGCCCTGGCCTTGCAGCAGTCATCATTCAGGTCCTTTCCTGAATGCAGGAGCTCCCAAGGTTTGTGCCATAGCCAAGAGCCCCACCACCGACCCCAGCTGCTGAAACATTCCTACTCTGCCCACCAGCCCAGCCTCAGCCTTATCTCCTGCTCCACTTGGTACCCACCTAGGTGTACTTGCTTTATATATTCAACCAGAGCAACTTTGTTGTCTCTCCAGAATTTCTCCAGCTGCTCTGCTGGAGGATATTTACAGCATGACAGCTCCAGTGTGATTTCAAAACACTGTCCCCAGACGTAGTTGTAATCTTGCATTCCACCTTAAAGGGAAAATAAAGCAAAGTGTTCAACTGCAAAGAAGCACCAAAGGTCAAGCAAGATGAAAAAGGGGAATGAAAAGTGTTGCTAATTGCATCACACCTGTAAGAAAATCAGCACATAAAACAGACAAATTATTCCTCAGTGCCACACCTGTATTTACTGCTTCCTCTGGAAAAGCAGCTTAATAACTCCACAAATACTTGTAGAGTTTCTTGTTTTTTAAAGCACAGTGGTGTCTTGGAAACGATGACATTTAATGTTGAAGAAGGGTAGGTCTTTGACTCAAAAACTCACAAGGCTTTTCAGGCTCTCCCAGCCCAACGGAGATGGATTGATTCAGGGCTTGGCATTGAGTCTGCCTCTTTGAGCTGTCCCAGGAGCCCTTTAAGGTGCCAAAGCAGCACTCAGGGCCAGAGTTTACAGGACCCATATTCTATTTGGCCATGTGAAAACAGAAATGAAAAAGATTTATTTCAGTAATCTTTTTTTTTTTTCCCTACGGGTAATATAAGTGCCAAACATTTGTTTTCTTTCTGAAAGGAGAACAGAGGTTCTCAACTTGTTGCTGGAGCAGCAGGCAGCTGTATATGCATATGTATGTGTGCAATATATGCCCTAAGAAAGGATACAGACAAAGCCAGAGCAGAAGCTGTCTCATTTCACTCTTGTCAATGCTGATGAGGAGTCTGCTAACCTGTATCCTCTCAGATAATCCCTGTTGGGGCTGTCTTCCTCATTTCTCACTAGCTACTCCAATCGATCCTTGCAGTCATTGCTCTTATCATCAGGTGGCAGAAGCAAGAAGGAATCTGAGGTAGCTGAAAAAGCAGCATGGACATTCTTACCT